TAATTAGTTAAATAAAGTCCACCTGTGTGCAATTTAAGTATCACATGATCTGTTACATGATCTCAGTATAAGTATATATACACACACCTGTTCTGAAAGGCCCCAGAGTCTGCAACACCACTAAGCAAGGGGCACCACCAAGCAAGCGGCACCATGAAGACCAAGGAGCTCTCCAAACAGGGCAGGGACAAAGTTGTGGAGAAGTACCGATCAGGGTTGGGTTATAAAAAAATATCCAAAACTTTGAACATCCCACTGAGCACCAGTAAATCCATTATTAAAAAATGAAAGAAAATGGCACCACAACAAACCTGCCAAGAGAGGGCTGCCCACCAAAACTCACGGACCAGGCAAGAAGGGCATTAATCAGAGAGGCAACAAAGAGACCAAAGATAATCCTGAAGGAGCTGCAGAGCTCCACAGCGGATAATGGCGTATCTGTCCATAGGACCACTTTAAGCCGTACACTCCACAGAACTGGGCTTTACGGAAGAGTGGCCAGAAAAAAGCCATTGCTTAAAGAAAAAAATAAGCAAACACGTTTGGTGTTTGCCAAAAGGCATGTGGGAGACTCTCCAAACATATGGAAGAAGGTACTCTGGTCAGATGAGACTAAAATTGAGATTTCTGGCCAACAAGGAAAACGCTATGTCACCTCTCATCACCCCGAGAACACCATCCCCACAGTGCTGCATGGTGGTGACATGCTGTGGGGATGTTTTTCCATCGGCAGGGACTGGGAAACTGGTCAGAATTGAAGGAATGATGGATGGCGCTAAATACAGGGAAATTCTTGAGGGAAACCTATTTCAGTCTTCCAGAGATTTGAGACTGGGACGGAGGTTCACCTTCCAGCAGGACAATGACCCTAAGCATACTGCTAAAGCAACACTCGAGTGGTTTAAGGGGAAACATTTAAATGTCTTGGAATGGCCTAGTCAAAGCCCAGACCTCAATCCAATTGAGAATCTGTGGTATGACTTCAAGATTGCTGTACACCAGCGGAACCCATCCAAGTTGAAGGAGCTGGAGCAGTTTTGCCTTGAAGAATGGGCAAAAATCCCAGTGGCTAGATGTGCCAAGCTTATAGAGACATATCCCAAGAGACTTGCAGCTGTAATTGCTGCAAAAGGTGGCTCTACAAAGTTTTGACTTTGGGGGGGTGAATAGTTATGCACGCTCAAGTTCTGTTTTTTTGTCTTATTTCTTGTTTGTTTCACAACAAAAAATATTTTGCATGTGTAAATTAAATGATACAACACCCCCCAAAATCCATTTTAATTCCAGGTTGTAAGGCAACAAAATAGGAAAAATGCCAAGGGGGGTGAATACTTTCGCAAGCCACTGTATCAACACATTTTAAACTTTTGGTGCCAACGAGAATGACATAAGAAAGAAGTCAAGACGACTAGCTTGATTGAGTGTCCGCCATGTATATCTCACTAGATCAGGATATTTAAGCCTCCATATATCTACTAGTTCTAATGTATCCAGGACCCATCCATCGAGAACAGCACACAGTGCCACCCACAAAACAGAAGCAGGTCAACCGCCAAAAGCATTTCCAATGCTCTCACCTCAATATATATATATATCTATTCAAATATCTTGCATATCTTAATTTCCATCATTATCAACTAATATGTGTAATAATGTCGGCAGTTCATGCGTAGGATTGTTACCTATAACCCGGATTGCCATTGTATTACATTACATTTTTGTCAAGCAATTATTATTTTGGCAAACAATTACTGTGGTTCATTCTATATTCTCCCTAACATCCTTACCCCCTTTCAACAGATGTGGGATAAACACACACACACACACACACACACACACACACTAACATACTCCACCCCTTTCCTGGTCCACAGTCTCAAAGAAAACCATTAGTAACACACTACACCGTCATGGATTAAAATCCTGCAGCGCACGCAAGGTCCCCCTGCTCAAGCCAGCGCATGTCCAGGCCCATCTGAAGTTTGCCAATGACCATCTGGATGATCCAGAGGAGGAATGGGAGAAGGTAATGTGGTCTGATGAGACAAAAATAGAGCTTTTTGGTCTAAACCACTCGCCGTGTTTGGAGGAAGAAGAAGGATGAGTACAACCCCAAGAACACCATCCCAACTGTGAAGCATGGAGGTGGAAACATCATTCTTTGGGGATGCTTTTCTGCAAAGGGGAAAGGACGACTATACTGTATTGAGGGGAGGATGGATGGGGCCATGTATCGCGAGATCTTGGCCAACAACCTCCTTCCCTCAGTAAGAGCATTGAAGATGGGTCGTGGCTGGGTCTTCCAGCATGACCACGACCCGAAACACACAGCCAGGGCAACTAAGGAGTGGCTCCGTAAGAAGCATCTCAAGGTCCTGGAGTGGCCTAGCCAGTCTCCAGACCTGAACCCAATAGAAAATCTTTGGAGGGAGCTGAAAGTCCGTATTGCCCAGCGACAGCCCCGAAACCTGAAGGATCTGGAGAAGGTCTGTATGGAGGAGTGGGCCAAAATCCCTGCTGCAGTGTGTGCAAACCTGGTCAAGATCTACAGGAAACGTATGATCTCTGTAATTGCAAACAAAGGTTTCTGTACCAAATATTAAGTTCTGCTTTTCTGTATCAAATACTTATGTCATGCAATAAAATGCAAATTAATTACTTAAAAATCATACAATGTGATTTTCTGAACTTTTGTTTTAGATTCCGTCTCTCACAGTTGAAGTGTACCTATGATAAAAAATTACAGACCTCTACATGCTTTGTAAGTAGGAAAACCTGCAAAATTGTCAGTGTATCAAATACTTGTTCTCCCCACTGTATGTCTCTGACCGCATTTATTTTTCTGTTTTGGCTGCAACTCACAGCAGGGCCATAAAACAGATGGGGACTTCTCTTTGGTGTATGGGTCGCTCAGGTGGGTGTCTAGGATATAGGGTTGGGGATTGTTCCATCATGATAGGACAATAAAAAAATAGATTAGATGTATACTTTATTTTAAAATGTATATCCCTCATCTGCACAAAATTGAAAGCTCTCTCTCTCACAACCCCCGCTCACAGGCACACGTTGGTTCTGGGATATGCAACCATTTCCTTTCTCAATCACTTAACGCCACACTTTTTCCAAACACAAAAACGCACACCACACCTTCTATCACAATACATCCACACATACCCACATACTGTGCCTTCTATGTCTTCTGTTTGCTATGTTTCTATCTCCTCTATGTTGATTGAGTACTTGTGTTCTAATTAGTTGTATTTGAAGATGTATTATTTTGCTTGTTATCTTTTCTTGTAATACCATCTTATCCCTTTATAAAATACTATAAATGTGCTTTATTATTACAATCCCTACCATTGCTAGTATTGGGTGTTCCATTATTCGACTCCTCTATTAGAACTTTCAGAATAGCCATGGAGTAGTCTTTGTGTCGCGGAACATTTGGTTGTCAATATACAGTTTATCGACAACGAGAGCAAAACGCTTCCCTTTTAATCTATTTTCCTTGAAGATTGGGTACAGAACTTTGCGCCGTTCTGCAATCTCCCTCGGGAACTGATCATTCATGCCTATTTTCATGCCAGCAAGTCTTTTACCTTTTAACCATTACATTATCCTAAAAAAAAGTGAATTTGGCAACGATTGGACGCTCATATCTCTGTCCTCTTTGTCCGAAACGGTGTACACGTTCGAGTTGGATTTTATCGACAGCCTCGAGTGGGATTTGAAGCGCTGTAAGAAAGAAGTCCTTCACAATTTTTTCGATAACCGCTCCTTCTTTTTCTTGGATACCAGTAAGTACTAGATGTTCTCTCATCGATCTAGTTTGTATGTCTTGTAAGGCTTCTCTCAGAAAGTTGTTCTCTTTTTTAAGTTCTTTAACGTCCGTTTCTATCTTAGTGACTGTCCCTTTTAGTTTTTTTGTATCGCTCTCCGTTATCGCAGCTTTTCCATCACTCATTTCAAGACTCGCCTTCAACTCTTTTACATCATTACTGACCAACTCTAGTACGCCTAGTTTGTCATTTAACTGATCGCTTTCCACACTTACTAGTCCCAGTGGTGAAAAGCATAAATCATCTGTATCAGTCGATGAGTCGCATTTTCTCTTGGAGATTGATTCTCCTCGTTTATCCTCTGTCATGTTTGAATGTTGCTTGTTGTTGTAATATTTGTCGATACATTTCTCTAGCCTTATGATTTGTTTTGTGTTATTCTCCAGATTGAATGTTATTACCCGCAAATATATGAAGTGCGAATATTTAGTCTAACCTACTGATATTGAATATTATGTTTTTATCTTGAGGTGATTCGTACCGCTCTGTATTCAATATGCCATCTTTTCTACCGGAAGTGAGGGGTCACGCTTCTTGACGCTCACTCAGTTTCACAATGACAACTGTTGCTTCTAACCCAGTCCCCTACCAGGCCCCGGCACTGTCATACTGCTGACGAACAATACAGTCAGCCCCGTGTGTGGAATCATAGGCGTCTGAGGTATGAATGTGGTATTCCAGTATCACGTTTTGCCTGCGTCTCCCCCCCAAGGCTAAACAGGGTCACCTTGACACACATTCATGTATGCATTTACACACTCCTCCCCTCTGCTCTCATCTCTGTTTATCTTTCTCATACTTCTCTATTTTGTCCCTTCTTTCATGTCTTTCCTCTCTTAAGATCTCTGCCCAGCTCTCCCTCTCAACCTTTCACTTGTAGGGGAAATAACTGACCCAATAAGAGATGATACTACTAAATATTATCAGCAGGATGAGCCAATAAGGAAAATATTGGCTGAGCAATATCAGAAGAATGTGCAATATTGGGGTTATGGGGAAATTCACAGTCATCTCAGTTCTAGTCAGCTTCCCTTCCCAGGACCCCAAATGTCATACGAGACAGTTGGATTACTTGCACTTCTCTTGACAGAAAAGAGAAGTATTTGATACTATTCTCTCCTCTTAGCTGAGTTTTAAATGGCCTGTGTTACCTCTGACCCGCTTTGAGTGGTTGACACTGGCAGGCTTGACACATTTGAGTTTACGGTGATATATTAGTTTGTGTGTGTGTGGCTGACCTCTGCTTATCCTCTGTTTCTCCCCTGACAGGATTCCAGGGGTATCGATGATACTGATGCTCTCCAGGACTGGGTTGGGCATCTGAGCACACATAAATCTGAGAGAGAGAGAGAGAAGAGAGGAGAGAGAGAGAAAAAGACAGTTAAGTAAGGATGCTGAAACAAAGCAAGGCATTCATGTATGCCCAAACTATGCTTCCAGTCAACCTGTCACAGCTAGAAATGTGAACTGAATGGTTTGACTGGAAGTGGAACAAAGCACAATTCAAACAAGGAGAGAACTGTTTTCTGTGAGAGTTGAATGCTGCATCATTTCTTCAATTATCCATAGAATAACCTTGACTCGCTGCCCAAACCCATACAACACATGATGTTGTCATCTTGCATTAGCTTTACAACTTCTATTACTTCTCATCCCAGAACTCTGCTGCCCCACCGCTCCCTCAGAACTAATATTCTGGACACTGCTCCCTCAGAACTAATATTCTGGACACTGCTGCCTCAGAACTAATATTCTGGACACTGCTGCCTCAGAACTAATATTCTGGACACTACTGCCTCAGAACTAATATTCTGGACACTGCTGCCTCAGAACTAATATTCTGGACACTGCTGCCTCAGAACTAATATTCTGGACACTACTGCCTCAGAACTAATATTCTGGACACTGCACCCTCAGAACTAATATTCTGGACACTGCTCCCTCAGAACTAATATTCTGGACACTGCTCCCTCAGAACTAATATTCTGGACATTATGCTACATGCATTAGGTCACAAGACTACAAGAACTAAGCTCTTAACTTACATTCTCCCAGGATAGTAGATCTAGTCTACAACTGGACCGTTTACAACAGACGTTTCATAGAGAGAAGGGGGGGGGGGGGGGCAGAACATTTAAGGCCAAACAAGAAGTCAAATAAATAAGGGGGGGGGGGGGGCACAGAACATTTAAGGCCAAACAAGAAGTCAAATAAATAAGGGGGGGGAGTCCTGTGGTAGAGTCGTATCATATTACAATGGGAATATTTGCCAAGTATAAAAAAAAACAGTGTATTTTTCCACTTTGTATGTCATACAGTTGAATTCGGAAGTTTACATACACTTAGGTTAGAGTCATTTAAACTCGTTTTTCAACCACTCCACACATTTCTTGTTAACAAACTATAGTTTAGGCAAGTTGGTTAGAACATCTACTTTGTGCATGACACAAGTAATTTTTCCAACAATTGTTTACAGACAGATTATTTCACTTATAATTCACTGTATCACAATTCCAGTGGGTCAGAAGTTTACATACACTAAATTGACTGTGCCTTTAAACAGCTTGGAAAATTCCAGAAAATTATGTCATGGCTTTAGAAGCATCTGATAGGCTAATTGACATCATTTGAGTCAATTGGAGGTGTACCTGTGGATGTATTTCAAGGCCTACCTTCAAACTCTGTGCCTCTTTGCTTGACATCATGGGAAAATCAAAAGAAATCAGCAAAGACCTCAGAAAAAAATGTGTAGACCTCCACAAGTCTGGTTCATCCTTGGGAGCAATTTCCTAACGCCTGAAGGTACCACGTTCATCTGTACAAACAATAGTACGCAAGTATAAACACCATGGGACCACGCAGCCGTCATACCGCTCAGGAAGGAGACGCGTTCTGTCTCCTAGAGATGAAAGTACTTTGGTGTGAAAAGTGCAAATCAATCCCAGAACAACAGCAAAGGACCTTGTGAAGATGCTGGAGGAAACAGGTACAAAAGTATCTATATCCACAGTAAAAATGAGTCCTATAGACATAACCTGAAAGGCCGCTCAGCAAGGAAGAAGCCACTGCTCCAAAACTACGGTTTGCAACTGCACATGGGGACAAAGTTCATACTTTTTGGAGAAATGACCTCTAGTCTGATGCTGCCACCCCCGTGCTTAACTGTTTGGCCATAATGACAATCGTTATGTTTGGAGGAAAAGGGGGGTTGCTTGCAAGCCGAACAACACCATCCCAACAGTGAAGCACGGGGGTGGCAGCATCATGCTGTGGGGGTGCTTTGCTGCAGGAGGGACTGGTGCACTTCACAAAATAGATGGCATCATGAGGAAGGAAAATTATGTGGATATATTGTAGCAACATCTCAAGACATCAGTCAGGAAGTTAAAGCTTGGTCGCAAATGGGTCTTCCAAAGGACAATGACCCCAAGCATACTTCCAAAGTTGTGGCAAAATGGCTTAAGGACAACAAAGTCAAGGTATTGGAGTGGCCATCACAAAGCCCTGACCTCAATCCTATAGAAAATGTGTGGGCAGAACTGAAAAAGCGTGTGCTAGCAAGGAGGCCTACAAACCTGACTCAGTTACACCAGCTCTGTCAGGAGGAATGGGCCAAAATTCACCCAACTTATTGTGGGAAGCTTGTGGAAGGCTACCCGAAACGTTTGACCCAAGTTAAACAATTGAAAGGCAATGCTACCAAATACTAATTGAGTGTATGTAAACTTCTGACCCACTGGGAATGTGATGAAAGAAATAAAAGCTTAAATAAATAATTATCTCTACTATTATTCTGACATTTCACATTCATAAAATAAAGTGGTGATCCTAACTGACCTAAGACAGGGAATTTTTACTAGGATTAAATGTCAGGAATTGTGAAAAACTGAGTTTAAATGCATTTGACTAAGGTGTATGTAAACTTACGACTTCAACTGTACATTCTGCGGAACTCTGGCCAAGCCTTCCCGTTTATCTAACATTTCCCACACAATTGGGCTAACCTCAGAATGACTCTCTCTCCATCACACACTGAAACAGAAACCACATCATGTTGTCCCCCTCCTCACCCCCACCAGGAAGACCTTCAACTTCCCAAAGTGAAGAAATACTATCAGCATTGTCATTCATTGTATGAGCACTGAGGAAGTGGTGGACTGTGCCGCTGTGCAAGACAAGTAGGCCTACGTATTTTACAACACATTTCTCTTTGAGATGCTACTGGAAGCCGCAATGCAGTAATGTGCAGAGTCAGTCAGTCATTAAAACAGAGTTCAGTAAAACGGAACCCCAACCCACTGACTCTTACTACTCCCATTGTGAACACAAACGCACAGAGTGGCCGATGGCTGGTTGTGGTAGTTAAAGGTCAACGCTACGGTTATAGACCTATAATTACCACAACATCTGTCTGTGCTGTCCTCTCAGTTACAATAGTCATCAGTCTTGTTGTAAAACAGCCCTGTCTCATGGGCCTTGTGATGACTTGCGAGAATAATTATCAATTGACCCTCATTTACTTTCTCTGCTATGAGTCAATGGAAATCAACTGTACAGATGCACCCTGGGTAATGTAGTACCCCAGAACAGGGGTGAGGAGGAGTTTAATCCAGCATCAGTGTTGACCCATGTGTCTTGAGCCAGCATATGGCGGTGTGTGAGGCACCACAGCTAATCTGGGGTTGAGGAAATCCCCTATTGCCAGGTTCAGCACATGACTTCCTCTAAAACCTGTACAGTCAGTCTGTGTCTCTCCAACATGGAGAGAGACAAGGCCAGGTTTATCTGACCATCTGTTTGAGTGCTGTGTATTGTGGTGCCAGCCAAGCTCTCACAGAGAGGAGATAGACCTTCTCTCTAGCGGATACTTCAGCAAAGGACACTACAATAAAACAACCTTGAGGGATTGTGTGTTTGAAGACAAAGATAAGAGTACACACATAAAGCCCCAGAACAGACAAACTAACTTATTGTTGTCATAATGCCACGTAGAACAGACTAGAACAACTGACTGTGGTGTCAGAATGCACTAGAACAACTGACTGTGGTGTCAGAATGCACCATAGAGCAGTCTGGATCGCTGAATCACTTTGATGTGTCATGATAATGAGTCACTGAATACACAAGAAGACCAGCTGAGTACTGAGTAGCCATAGCCTAGATGCTGACTGACTGTGCTGTCACACTACCATGAAGAACATACCAGCACTGCACTTTGACTAGGATTTCCTAATGCATCATAGCAGGCAGAAGCCTCAGTGGGAGTTGGCCAGCTGTTACTACTGATGTGGCAACCGTAGCCTTTTCTGGGGTGTGCAACTAAGGAGAAGAAAGATAAAGCACTGTCGCCTGCCTGCTGAAAACACAATCCATTATTTTCCATTTACCTTTCAGTGCTGCTGCAGGCTAAACAATGTTGCAGACTAGGATGTGACTATAGTTTAGATTAGGCTAGGTGTTGTTACACTGTTCAAATAGCCAAGGGGAAAAGGTTCTCTCAACTTGGCAAGGTGACTTGTCCAGGTGGGTTAACAACAGGTATGGTGGATGGAACAGAGGCTACAATCTGTTGTGGTGATGAAATAAAGGGGTAAACACCTTGGGCTAAATGACAGGAGGAATATGATGCAACAGTAGAGATAGTTTTGCTTCAAATAGTCCCTACATGCAGAGGCTTGTGAGGGAGGTATTTTATGGAATGTTGAGAGAGGTGTTACCATAGAGATCCTATTAAATTCCCATTGGGCCTGGGAACTTGGCATGAGTATTTATTTACCTGTTGAGGAACGCGTTACCAAAGGCGTTGAGTTTGCGGAAGGGTTTTTGGGGGTCGACAACCAAGGCGTTTCCAGGTATCATCCCGTCCTGGTCACCGTGCATCACGGCTATGAAAGAGTCTGTCGTCGGCTCCGGACCTATTCTCATACCGGGGAAGTCCTGCTCCATCAGGTGCCGAATAAAGGTGGTTTTCCCGGTCGAGTACTGACCAACCAAGAGAACCATGGGTTTGTTGTCGAAATCGGCATCCTCGAGCGCCGGTGAGTGGAAGTCGTGGAACTGGTAGGTGTCCTCCAGGGGAAAGAGTTTAGTCCGATATAGCTTTTTCAAACCTTGCGAAACATCCTGGAACGGTTCAGGCGTTTTTTTGTCCCTACTGCGGAACATGGTGGGCTGTTGAGCTGGTTTGACACAGCACTGTCGCGTTGGATCTGAAAACAGCAGAGAGAGAGATGGCGATGTAGTTAGCGCAAGCAACTATCACAGATAACAGTAGTAGAGTAACGTTAGCTAGAGATGCTAAAGTAGGCGAGGTCTTGAAGTGTTGATCGTCCCTCCTTCCTGACTAGCCAAACACGCCCCAGCTAGTTATTAACTTGAGAATTAATGTATCGCGACAGCAAGTAACTATCTTTTGTAGGAGTCGAGAGCGTAATTTCTCTTAAACATTAAATAATAACCACACGCTATCCGTTAAAAGGAGGAAAACATCACTTTTACCTGTCCGTTTGTGTTCTGTGGCCGTGTTCACCGGCTGGCTGACACTTGTGTGTGTGTGTGAGACACGCAGGAAGCGGAAGTGGAATGTGAACTTCAAAATAAAAGTCCCAGCGAATTAATGAAGTGCGTAGGCCTATGATCGCTCAAAATGATTCAGATGATTGTGAGGAATGAGGATAAAGAAACAGATAATTAATACCTGACTTCTCGTCATCTCACCAAGTCTTGTGATAGCTGCTGCACATTGCTGGTTTGGCCCTAAGGTTTGGCCTCACTATTCTGCAATTCATTAAAAGATGGACTCAGCTCTATAGTGCCCCATCTGATAGCCAAAGAAAAATCTGCTGTGTGTATGTGTGTGTGTGTTCATTGCTGGCCCAAATATATGGTAGGCTGTGATGAAGACCAGATCCAGTGAAAAGGAGAGACAATTACAGTAAATATCAGTATATTTATTGTGAAAAGTAACACTATACAGATACATTAGAATTGAAAGGCCTATTCAAGTACATACAAGTACATAGACAACGTCACATACAGTAGATTAAGGCTTACACCGTGCATCCAGGGTGACGACCAGAGGTGTCTCTCCGCCCATAACAGCAGCTCCACTGGAACCCTGAGCTATTCCATATGGAGATGCTGTTACAGCCAGCAAGCACCAGACACTGGAGTTATACTGCACCTTGTAACACAGCTATAAATCCACATGATTCAGTAGTAAACCATTTAAGGACTGCGTCGTGCCTAAGAACAGCCTTTAGCTGTGATATATTGGCCATATACCACACCCCCTCGGGCCTTATTGCTTAAGTATAGCAGGGCTGTTCAATTACAGTCCTGGAGGCCCAAAACACTTCTGGTTTTCATCCTCTCCTTCTAATAAAGAAGCTCCGATGACGTGGACGTCAATTAAGGCAGCCCCCGCACCTATCTGATTCAGAGGGGTTGGGGTAAATGCATAAGACACATTTCGGTTGAATGCATTCAGTTGTGCAACTAACTAGGTATACCCATTCTCCTAATAAGGGACAAATTCAGACCTGGGACACCAGGGGAGTGCAATTTACTACCAGGTAGAGACAAAAACCAGAAGTGTTTCGGCCCTCCAGGACCGGAATCGAACAGCCCTGATGTATACATGAGAATTAAAAGGCCTATTCAAGTACATACAAGTACATAAACAACGTCACACACAGTAGATTAAGGCTTACACCGTGCATCCAGGGTGACGACCAGAGGTGTCTCTCCGCCCATAACAGCAGCTCCACTGGAACCCTGAGCTATTCCATATGGAGATGCTGTTACAGCCAGCAAGCACCAGACACTGGAGTTATACTGCACCTTGTCACACAGCCATAAATCCACATGATTCAATAGTAAACCATTTAAGGACTGTATCCCAAGTCTCAAGGAGTCATGTAATGAAGTGTGAGATTAGACTGCCTCCTGTTGGTCAAGGAGAATTACAACACAGAGCTTCTGTGCCATAAATCTGAACATGTGATGAAAGGAAAGGGAAAGGGGGATACCTAGTCAGTTGTACAACTGAATGCATTCAACTGAAATGTGTCTTCCGCATTTAACCCAACCTCTCTGTCAATGCATAAAATGCATGTGATAATCAGTGGTGGAAAAAGTACCCAACTGTCATACTTGAGTAAAAGGTACATCATTTTCTTTAGGAATGTAGTGAAGTAAAAGTAAAAGTTGTGAAAAAGAAATAGTAAAGTAAAGTACAGATACCCCCAAAAACTACTTAAGTAGTACTTTCTTTACCTTTGATCTAGCTCATTGCTTATTTACAATACAGATTGTGTATCACTTATTATGGCAATAAAATCATGTTGATTATCTGAATGAAACAGTATGACTAAAGAGAGTGGTGATTATCTGAATGAAACAATATGACTAAAGGGCATGGTGATTATCTGACTGAAACAATATGACTAAAGGGCATGGTGATTATCTGACTGAAACAATATGACAAAAGGGCATGGTGATTATCTGACTGAAACAATATGACAAAAGGGCATGGTGATTATCTGAATGAAACAATATGACTAAAGGGCATGGTGATTATCTGAATGAAACAATATGACTAAAGGGCATGGTGATTATCTGAATGAAACAATATGACTAAAGGGCATGGTGATTATCTGAATGAAACAATATGACTAAAGGGCATGGTGATTATCTGAATGAAACAATATGACTAAAGGGCATGGTGATTATCTGAATGAAACAATATGACTAAAGGGCATGGTGATTATCTGAATGAAACAATATGACTAAAGGGCATGGTGATTATCTGAATGAAACAATATGACTAAAGGTCATGGTGATTATCTGAATGAAACAATATGACTAAAGGCCATGGTGATTATCTGAATGAAACAATATGACTAAAGGGCATGGTGATTATCTGAATGAAACAATATGACTAAAGGGAATGGTGATTATCTGAATGAAACAATATGACTAAAGGGCATGGTGATTATCTGAATGAAACAATATGACTAAAGGGCATGGTGACTGTGCCCGCCAGCGCAATGTTCTCAAAGGGTTGGTCCCGTTCAGCACATAAGTAGTCTGGGTGTCCTGCAAAGGGGTTTCAGTTATTCAACTTCAATCAATGAAATACTTTTATATGCATTCATGATTGAATTTCAATTACATTTATTGAATTGAGAGGATTTCAAACAGTATTGAACTTACTATGATAAACATAGTATGAATCGTAGGCCTTCTCTAGTTCCAGAATCTTAGGCCTTCTCTTTCTTGCTGTCCTTCCCAGAATCTCTCTAGACTTTGACTCACTGATCTTTACCCTTCCAGCTTTGCAAAACAAAACAATAAAATAAAATAACAAGAGAGTGACTTTGGACCCTTATTGCCTCCTTCAACTTTGTTCACCTTTCTGTCTTACACATTGCTCTCTTTCTATATTTTTGAATTCATTTGAGTTTCTTTGTCTAATCAGTGAATTCACATATCACGAAATATAATAATGTAATCACTTAGAATTACAAAGTACTTAATCCGTTAAATCAAGTACCTAAAGAAGTTAGGAAATCAGCTGACTTTCTCTGCGCCTGTCAGTTACAAGAAGAGGAAACCAGAAGATGAAAGGCTACCAGTGTCCTAAATAAAACGGACTATGGATGGAATGATCTATTGCACTTTACTACATTCCTTCGTCTCATCCAAGGGGATCTCATGATGTAGACAGGTTGAGATTTAAACATAACAATTTGAAAACAAACTGAACCTACTCACCCTCAGGAACTGAAGTTCAGTAAAGGACTGGTAAAGGAGTGAGTGAGGGCTGCTTAAGACTGTGAGAGGGAGAGAGAAATGAATAATTATATGTACAGTAAATATGTAACAGGCCCTGCCCATAAACTCTGAATCCTTGCCCATAAACTCTGCATCCTGTTTGAATACCTATAGGTATACAGTCATACTGTAAGACCTTAGCAAACACACAAAGCCTACACATACGGGCGCGCGCACACACACACACACACACACACACAATCACACACACCCTAAACTCAAATAGTAACTGTAAACGTATGCTCAGGAATCAGATATAACTTTATATACACTGCTCAAAAAAATAAAGGGAACACTAAAATAACACATCCTAGATCTGAATGAATGAAATAATCTTATTAAATACTTTTTTCTTTACATAGTTGAATGTGCTGACAACAAAATCACACAAAAATTATCAATGGAAATCAAATGTATCAACCCATGGAGGTCTGGATTTGGAGTCACACTCAAAATTAAAGTGGAAAACGAGACTACAGGCTGATCCAACTTTGATGTAATGTCCTTAAAACAAGTCAAAATGAGGCTCAGTAGTGTGTGTGGCCTCCACGTGCCTGTATGACCTCCCTACAACGCCTGGGCATGCTCCTGATGAGGTGGCGGATGGTCTCCTGAGGGATCTCCTCCCAGACCTGGACTAAAGCATCCGCCAACTCCTGGACAGTCTGTGGTGCAACGTGGCGTTGGTGGATGGAGCGAGACCTGATGTCCCAGATGTGCTCAATTGGATTCAGGTCTGGGGAACGGGTGGTCCATAGCATCAATGCCTTCCTCTTGCAGGAACTGCTGACACACTCCAGCCACATGAGGTCTAGCATTGTCTTGCATTAGGACAGGGGTGTCAAACGTCCGGCCCGCGGGCCGGATCAGGCCCGCAAATGGGTTTAATCCGGCCCGCGAGATGATAAAAAAAAAAAATATATATATATAACAAAAAAAATAATAAAAAAAATTGTAAAGTATAAAAATGCGCTGCAATTTTTCAATAAAATAAACTGCTGTTCCAATTGCGTACACTGGATGGCGCAATAGCAATTGTGTTAAGCAAGCAAACTGTTTATACCGGGGCAGAGCAAGTAGGTCAAGCACGTGCAGCCAATGAGCTACTTTGTTTGGCCCGCGATATTTATTACGGCTTCTACTTTTAACATTATGTGCTTTGGCACCCTCATTGCCCCAATATGTCTCTGTCAAAAAAGAGAAAAGTGGACGCAGAGTGCAGAGTGTTCCAAGAAAAATGGTCATCCTATTTATTCACGGAATTGAATGGGAAAGCTGTATGTTTGGTGTGTTCAGAGCATGTTGCAGTGCTGAAAGAATATAACCTTCGTCGCCACTATGTGAGTCTTCATGCCGACAAATATGACAACTTTCAAGGACAGCGGAGATGAGAGAAGGTGAATGAACTGTTGGCGGGTCTGAAGAAACAGCAGTCTGTGTTTACTCACAGCCGAGACATCAGTGACGCTGCAGTGAAAGCTAGCTACCTCATTGCTAATGAAATCGCAGTGGTTTCAAAACCATTTAGTGAGGGTAAATTTGTAAAAACATGCATGATGAAGGCAGCGGAGATTGTGTGCCCTGAAAAGCGGCAGGCTTTTGCAAATATCAGCCTGACAAGAAACACAGTTGCAGACAGGATTTCCGATCTTTCAGTGGATTTGGACAGCCAGTTGAAGCAAAAAGTAAAGTCATTTATTGCGTTTTCGGTTGCAATTGATGAAAGCACGGACATTACAGATGTTGCACAACTGGCCATTTTCATCCGCAGAGTTGATGACACATTGACCGTCACCGAGGAGTTTGTGGAGTTGGTGCCGATGACAGATACAACGACAGCAGCTGATATTTTTACCGCACTCGTCGGCGCGCTGGACAGGGTCGGAGTGGACTGGTCCCGCGCTGTCAGCCTGGCTACAGATGGTGCGCCCTCAATGATCGGGAAAAAAGCAGGCGTTGTGACAAAGTTCAGAGAGAAAGTGCAATCTGCAAATGGAGGACGTGATTTTTTGACTTTTCACTGTATTTTGCACCAGGAGGCTTTGTGTTGCAAGTCATTAAAGATGGATAACGTCATGAAGGTGGTCATCCAAACTGTTAATTTCATCCGATCCAGAAGCCTGAATCACCGTCAGTTTGACAGCCTGCTCAGAGAGAAAGACCACATCTATGGCCTGCCATACCACACTGAGGTAAGATGGTTAAGCCGAGGTGCTGTGCTGAGGCGTTTCTTTGATTTACGAGAAGAAATTGAACAGTTCATGGAAGAAAAGGGCAAACCAGTGTTAGAATTTCATTCCGCAGAATGGATGCAGGACCTTGCATTTATGGTGGATGTTACAGAGCATCTAAATAACTTGAACAAACAGCTGCAAGGGCGCAACAAAGTTGTCACGCAGTATTATGACAGCATACGTTCTTTCAAGTTGAAGCTGTCATTGTGGGAGACGCAACTTGCCGGTGGTGATGCAGCTCACTTCCCCTGTCTGAAAAATGTGTGCGCGACCCAACATGTGGCAGACATGAAGCGGTTCAAAGATAAAATAACGGGACTGTTACGGGAGTTTGAGCAACGCTTTCAGATTTATGTTTATATGTTTTTATGTTGATGTGCTATTGTTTTTAATTGATTTTATTTTATTTGTATATTTAACCTATTCTTGACTGTGGTTCTTGCACTTGTTTGGGGAACAGGATTTCATTATTTTTATCTACATTTCTGCCTGAGAAATGACACCCTGATATAGTTCTGTGATCTGTGATATACTTCTGTGAATCACTGAGGCATTGTGTGTTTGTGTGTTCTTTGTCCTCAGAACTTTCAAATAACTTGAGGTGTTTTATGATTAATTGTGATGTTGTGCTTTTGGACACTGTCCTCAGGCTCCAGTTTATGTTTATATGTTTTTATGTTGATGTGCTATTGTTTTTAATTGATTTTATTTTATTTGTATATTTAACCTATTCTTGACTCTGTGGTTCTTGCACTTGTTTGGGGAACAGGATTTCATTATTTGTATCTACATTTCTGCCTGAGAAATGACACCCTGATATAGTTCTGTGATCTGTGAAACAGTTCTGTTAATCACTGAGGCATTGTGTGTTTGTGTGTTCTTTGTCCTCAGAACTTTCAAATAACTTGAGGTGTTTTATGATTAATAGTGATGTTGTGCTTTTGGACACTGTCCTCAGGCTCCAGCTTTATGTTTATATGTTTTTATGTTGATGTGCTATTGTTTTTAATTGATTTTATTTGTATATTTAACCTATTCTTGACTCTGTGGTTCTTGCACTTGTTTGGGGAACAGGATTTCATTATTTGTATCTACATTTCTGCCTGAGAAATGACACCCTGATATAGTTCTGTGATCTGTGAAACAGTTCTGTTAATCACTGAGGCATTGTGTGTTTGTGTGTTCTTTTTCTTTAGAATTTTCAAATAAACTTGACGTGTTTTATGATTAATAGTGATGTTGTGCTTGTACTATTTTGGACACACTGTCCTCAGGCTCCAGCTTTATGTTGTATGTTGATCGTATTAAAACAAAGAAAACAATCTGAAGTTGTTGTTTTTAAGTTATATATACAATGATTTTTCCGGTCCGGCCCACTTGGGAATAGATTTTCCTCCATGTGGCCCCTGAGCTAAAATGAGTTTGACACCCCTGCATTAGGAGGAACCCAGGGCCAACCGCACCAGCATATGGTCTCACAAGGGATCTGAGGATCTCATCTCGGTACCTAATGGCAGTCAGGCTACCTCTGGCGAGCACATGGAGGGCTGTGCGGCCCCCCAAATAAATGCCACCCCATACCATGACTGACCCACCGCCAAACCGGTCATGCTGGAGGATGTTGCAGGCAGCAGAACGTTCTCCACGGCGTCTCCAGACTCTGTCACGTCTGTCACATGTGCTCAGTGTGAACCTGCTTTCATCTGTGAAGAGCACAGGGCACCAGTGGCGAATTTGCCAACCTTGGTGTTCTCTGGCAAATGCCAAACGTCCTGCACGGTGTTGGGCTGTAAGCCCAACCCCCACCTGTGGATGTCGGGCCCTCATACCACCCTCATGGAGTCTGTTTCTGACCGTTTGAGCAGACACATGCACATTTGTGGCCTGCCTGAGGTCATTTTGCAGAGCTCTGGCAGTGCTCTTCCTGCTCCTCCTTGCACAAAGGCGGAGGTAGCGGTCCTGCTGCTGGGTTGTTGCCCTCCTACGGCCTCCTCCACGTCTCCTGATGTACTGGCCTTTCTCCTGGTAGCGCCTCCATGCTCTGGACACTACGCTGACAGACACAGCAAACCTTCTTGCCACAGCTCGTATTGATGTGCCATCCTGGATGAGCTGCACTACCTGAGCCACTTGTGTGGGTTGTAGATTCCGTCTCATGCTACCACTAGAGTGAAAGCACCGCCAGCATTCAAAAGTGACCAAAACATCAGCCAGGAAGCATAGGAACTGAGAAGTGGTCTGTGGTCACCACCTGCAGAACCACTCCTTTATTGGGGGTGTCTTGCTAATTGCCTATAATTTCCACCTGTTGTCTATTACATTTGCACAACAGCATGTGAAATGTATTGTCAATCAGTGTTGCTTCCTAAGTGGACAGTTTGATTTCACAGAAGTGTGATTGACTTGGAGTTACATTGTGTTGTTTAAGTGTTCCCTTTATTTTTTTGAGCAGTGTACAATACAGGCGGCAAACAAAAGTGGAGCTTACCCATAATGAAACTATAATGTGTGTGTATAAATCACACAGTGTTCAGAAAAGGTTATAAAGACACTGTTAGTGTGGTGTTGACTGGATACCCCATTCACATCGCTCCGGCCAACTGACGTTTCTTCTCAGCAATCGATAGAGCAGTGGAATTAAATTCAGGGTGACGTCAGGGAAGGTGTGCCACTAGATGGCAGCAATGTGCTGTGAATGAGAATGTTTGGAAAATGTGGTAATTTTCTATCCTATCAGGCCTCCGTACTTGCATGTGGACTGGTCGGTCTGAAAGCGGTGTTGTGTGTTGACCGATTCTGAATGTGAGTTGCTAACGTTAGCTAATGTTGCACAAACAAATAATGATATTTTGTAAAATAACGTTTATGAAATGGTTGAGCGCCATCATTTTTACAAGTGCAATGCAATAGTCACCCTAGCTATATTTTACAGCCCATTATCAATTTACTCTGCAAACAGGGTTCTTCTTACAAGCTAGCAGGAGAGGCTAACTGAAATTAGCCATCTCATTCATCCATCATACTAGCTAACGTCAGTTTACAGTTAGTTAGCCAGCTATATGTAAACACAGATAATACGGCAAAGTTACTGGACAATTCTTATTTGGTTAATTCATGATTTTCATGTGGTGGTCTGTAGATACTAAAATGTTTCCTGCGGGACGTTACCTAAGTGATGCTGCTTTGTTATCTTCATAGGCAGTTCAGTCTAATCAAGTAGCTAACGTTACACAGCTAGCTAGCCAGCACATTCTGGACCTATGTAACAACCCATCTAACTAAACTAGTTATACGGGTAGCATGTAATTGGTTAAACCTGAATCTCAATCATATAGACATAACGATACATGTTTGTGGCCCTTGGATCTACTTCACATGCCCAGCTACTTGCTTACAGTATCAGACTACGAAGTGAAACTCTTCGCTTTCATGTTCTCTCAGCAAGATGGCAGAACAAACAACGTTGGACAGCCTGCTGGAAATGGGATTTGACAGAAACAGAGTGTAAGTAGCTAACTGAATTAATGTGGCTATTCTTCTACACACTAAAGATCATGATAAGATGATGTGATCAACTCTGATCCTGTCCATATTTCGTCTGCTTGCAGGGAAAAGGCTGTGGCACACACAGGAAACCAGGGCATAGAGCGGGCCATGGACTGGTAAGGCAACTGGTATGGGCATTGGTGAGCTAGTCTCAGAGGCTTCTTCTTCCTCAGTTAAGTTATTCACATTGGATAACGGATTCGTGATGTCTCTCTTCTATCATGCGTCTTCCACAGGTTGATGGAACATGAGGTTGACCCAGACATTGACGAGCCCTATGTACCTCCTGTGGGGAACGTGCTTGGAGGAAGTGACCCACAACTGCCTAGTCCAGCAGCCCAACCCACAACACAGGGAGCAGACCCTGGTAAGTGGTAAATTGTCATGACAGCATATTGCAATATGGTTACTTATATTGTTATGATCTAGTTATAACTATGACTTCAACTTCCCATTACTGGTTAACATGGTTGTTGGTTTACATTGTCTTCTTGTCCCTCGACTCTTCTATGTCAACTCTACCTTTTAGCTACAGATGGTGGTGACCAGATGATCCATGACGGTGATACCAAACGACCAATGATAGAGGAGGAGAAACGTGAGCAGATAAAGAGGTCAGATAATTCACCACCACTGAGGTTCTGTTAACACAGTTATCTTATTCTGTCAGAAACTGGGGAAATGTCCTCTCAGGTTTGGTCAATAGATGTTACTCAGTAAGATGGAAGTATCAGGAAAAAGCAAGGCCTTCTGTTGGAAATACAAAGAGACGGCATACAATGAAACCTGTGTGTGTGTACCAGGCTAGAGGAGCTGATGCGGGTGAAGCAGGAGGAGCGGCGAGAGAGGGAGCGAGCGGAGGAGGTGGACAGGGAGAAGCAGAGGAGGAGGCAGGGCCAGGAGCTGCTGCAGGTCAAACAGAAACTGCAGGAGGATGAGATGAAGAAAATGGTGGACCTGCGCCGGAGAGAGAAGGACGGTGACAGAATGGCCAAGTAAGCCAAGATGTCAATGGGCTTGTTCAACATTTCAGCCAACATTGCAGGCGACTGCCGATTAACTGATCTACAGAATACCTTGCATATAAGTATTATTATTTGTAGGTCATTTAGTCAGTCACAATTTACCCACAATACATCACGGATGGATTTGATGCTCTCGACATGGCCAATGGCTGTTGTCTCAAAGCACATTGGAGGAGAGGATCCAAGGTCCCTCCCTCGAACCTCCTCCAATGAGCTTTGAGAAGAATTGAGGAAACAAGAATAGTTAGTAACGTTTTCAGACACAGCCAATAGTTACTTCTTCTAAACGGCTTAGTGCAAATAAGGTCTATTCCCACTCCACAACTCTTCTCTTTATCCAATGACTGCTCTCTCTCTCTCTCTCTCTCTCTCTCAGGCAGCGGGTGCGAGACAAGATAGCACGCGACAGAGAGGAGAGAGCACTTAAGGTACAGACTGCACCTACAGCATCTGACTCCTATGCTGAACTGTTGCTAAATAATGTCTCCATATCTTTCATAGAAAGAGTTGAACTCACTAACCCCTTCTACTCCTCTCTTCTCCCTCTCCAGTTTGGAGGCGGTTCTTCTAGTACAGCTCTAACCTCCCTTTCAGCAGAGGGCCCTCCCTCCTCTCCGCCCAGTCAGGGCCCGCCTCCCGCCAAGAAGGACTATAACGAGTGCAGAATCCAGGTAAGGGGCCATGGATGTCTACGGCCTAGTTCACATTCTGTTCACACTCACAACTGATGTACAACGCATTGAACACAACAGTTGTAATACAACAGATATGTTTGTTTGCTCAACAATCTTTACACAACCGTTGTTTGGTGTCTCAACAGTCAATAACGTTTATTCATTCATCCTTCTGTCCGCAGGTGCGTATGCTGGACGGCTCGGCGCTGACCTCCGTGTTCAAGGCCCAGGAGCCGCTGGCTGCCGTGCGTGTCTACATCCAGATGAATGGCGACGCCCCCGAGGGCCAGGACTTCACGCTGCTGTCCCCGTACCCCCGCCGCGTCTACACAGAGCTGGACATGGAGAAACCCCTACAGGAGCTGGGTGAGCAGACAGGATGATGCTTGTCTCCTTCATCCGCACTAATCTGAAAGGACTGGAGAGGTCAAAATCAGCCAAAGCCATATTGCTTTCTTCTATCCTGTGTTGTCAGATCAGTGCAGTTATAGAGGAATCTAATCTGAGATTGAAGGTGTGTTTCATTTGATACTGTTTCAACTGTTTTGTGTCATTGTTCAGGTTTGGTGCCTTCAGCTGTGCTGGTCATTGCCAAGAAATAAGGACCTGAAGTAAAACTATGCTTTATGAGCCAACACATCATGTATCACCCCAACAGGACAGAGATGAGGATGTCAACTATGGATTGGATCTCCTTCAACAAACACTTTGAACTTTAATCTGAATCTTCTGTAGCAACACAAAATGGATTACTTTATTGGTTCTCATGGGTCCTAAAGTTAGACCTGGCTCATGTTGACACTGACACTTTCCACTGCTTTGCAAGTTGTAGTTTTCCAAAGCTAAATCATTTTACAGTGGTGTTATTGCATACTCACTCAAACTTGAATAAAACTTACTTGGAGAGTAATGTGGTGGACTGAACATACTTTCCATAGAGAATGCAACAATTTAAAACTTACAGGAATAACCTGTTATTTTTTATGAAGCTCCAAATCAGCTTAACATATACCTTCTACATACAAGAAATCGTGTCATATCAAATTTCCAAGAATTCACATTAAGCACATTGTGCTTCACTGAAATGTTTTATTGAGCAATGTTAAAAGGGAAGATTAAAAAGTTACATTGTCAGACATTTTCAAAAACTGAGAGATAAAGGCAAAAGTCGTGGTGGTTTATGAGTGGATTTAGCCATACATTTAACAGTTTCCTACTCCTAAAGTTTTACCAAACATGAACCAAAACATGACCGATACTGTTGGTTTTGGACATTAGGTACAGCACAGCGTACATACACTTACTACTCCTTGCTTAGCCTCAGACCAGAGGCACTGGTACACCTGCATACAACAACATGGCTTCCCTATCTTATGTCTGGAGGACTCGACTGGGCAGAAACTTGAATGGCGATCCACAAGCATTGAATGAGGGGCAATAGATTGATCTTAACCTGCTCGTATACGAAAAGAGCTCTGACTTCACACTATAAAACACCATTATGTACATTAGGAAAAAAAGACTAGCCTATACTTCTGGAATGATGCAAGACTTTAAATAATACAGGACCTATGGAGAGAGACGGTTTTGCTTAAAGTGAAAGGGGCTGCATGTAGAATAGAATACAAAAATAGTTTATCATTAAAACAATGTACAAGAGCACATTTTCAAAGACCAAATGAGTAGTAGATGTCACAGGTCACACCCCTGTTCCTGATAAAAGATATGAGATGCATCCCTAATGGCACCCTATTCCCTACAAAGTGCACTACTTTTGACCGGAGCCCTATGGCCCCTAGACAAAGATCGTGCACTATATAGGGAATAAGGTGCCATTTGGGACACATCCATGGAGTTTAAACTGAGGTGGTGGTGAGTTCACTGAACACTGGGTCCTCAATGCTGAATCATCCTTGGTAACCTCTGCTGTCTGTTGGTGTCACATCATTTATCTTCCCCCTTAGCTGGGAGGGTAGTAACCCTGATTGTAGTTCCAGGGTTGCTGGTAGCCTCCGTATCCCCCATACTGTTGTTGCTGAAAGAGGAGAGGAACATCATTTAAAAAATGAAGGAACACCCCATCTCTAATCAACACTTTAGTGCAGGGGTATTCAAATCTTAACCAGAAGTAGTTTGGACCTCGTAGGGTTTCTGTTCTACCTGATAATTAATTGCACCCACCTGGTGTCTCAGGTCTAAATCAGTCCCTGATTAGAGGGGAAGAATGTAAGAAACACAGTGGAACTGTTTTCGAGGTCCAGATTTCGAGATCCAGGCTTTAGTCTCTAATATCTGGCTCAATTTCTAAAGACATTGACCATGTAAGAGTGTATGTAACCTATATTCATGTATCATAGTTTGTACAGTGTAACAATCTCTCATACCTGATACCAGCTTCCATATCCTCCGTAGCCTGCATGAGCCGCAGTCATGTCCCCACCCATCATGGGTGGAGGTGGTGTCGTCATGGGAACATGGGGCATTGAGGGAGGGGCCTGTGGTGGAGCGGGAACAGCGGAGCAGTCTTCTCCTTTACTCATCTTCTCTGGGTCCTCACTGTCTCTGCAGATCAATCAATACAACAACTACGTCAATAACCAAGCCATGAACAGTTTATCCATTTGCTTCTCCATAGTCGACTGTCACATCTCAATATGTTGAGTCACTACATCACACTATTTTATCGGTAATAAACCCTTGCATGATATTGACAGATATGCTATAAATCTCACCCATTCTCAGCCCCTCTCTTCTTGTTGCCAAGCTCTTTCAGCAGCTTCTGATGCTCCTCATAGACTGTTAGCACACTGCAGGCCAGAGTACAGCAACAGTACAGCAATTTAAAACATAGTCAAGTGATGCTCCTCATAGACTGTTAGCACACTGCAGGCCAGAGGACAGCAGCAGTAACATTTAAAACATTATAAATTGAATTCCTACCGGTTTCATTAAATTAAATGCCTTGAGATGTTTCTTTTTCTCTGGGTTCCTGATTGTATCTAAAAACAACAAACAATCCTGTGACCCCTGACCTTTGCACAGAGGTCCCATAGTCCTCAGCGTACTGCAGGCCCCTCTGGGAAAAGAGGATCTTGGTCCGTGGGGAGAGGGGTGCGGCCAGTGCCCGAGTCACACACTGCTGCACCCCCTCGGCCGACCCTCTGGGGTCACCAGACACCTCCAGCTCCAGCAGGTTCAGGTGCAGCTTCCCGTTATCCTGGGAAAGGGAGAGAGGATAGGTGGAGAGAAACAGAGGAAAGAGAGGGACAGAGAGTTATAACCTACTGCTTGGTCAAGAGATCTTCATCAAGAAAGAAAGGGAGATCTGGCATCAAACCATAAGTGATATTTTCTCTGAGGTTTCATGTAAAAGTTAGAGCAAGTGATCTTCTTCCCCTCTGTACTAAAAGCTTCTAGCTTTGTTATTCCCTCGATCAGGTATCTCCCTCAATCCCCCCTTCTCTCACCGGGCTAATCTCCAGCGCCTCCTGCAGGACTCCCCTGGCCTTGCTGGGGTTCTTGCAGAGCTTCAACAGCAGCCGGGCCAGTTTGATGGAGTAGAACGCATGGAGGTGGGGAGTCTCTTTGGCCTGGGCCACAGCGTCCCTGAGCAGAGCTTCTGATTCATCTAGCTGGCCTGCCCGTCTCTCTAGCCCCGCCCTGCGCAGCCGGACCATGGTCAATCCTGGGATAGAGGTTTCCAGAGATTCTAGAACACGCCGTGCCTCTGTTAGATCACCTGGGAGGAGACGGAGGGGAGGAGGGCGTGAGTGGGCTACAACACTGGGTAATGGTGTCCTGTGTTTTTCATCTGACGTGTGTCTTCCTCTCTCACCATGCCTCTCCTCGAAGGTGGCCCACTGCAGGTGCATGGTGTGTTTGTGGGCCAGGTGGATCTCACAGGCTCGCCGGAACACTCCCCGCGCCTCGTCCAGACTCTGAGGTTCCAGGTACTGAACATACTGAGAAACATACATACAGTATACATTAGTTACACTGACATACAAACACGTTACTGACACACACACCCCTGCAGTCCGTCTTTACCTTGGTCCAGAACTCCTCGTAGAGAGCGCAGGCGATCAGACAGCGCTCAAACAGGATTCGTACCCTCCGGTCTCCCCCGGCAACAATCCCACTGCTCTTTGACCCCTCCTCCTTTTCCTCCTCTTCCTGGCCCTCCATGGCCTCTGGTTCTGTCTCGGTCTTCACCTCCTTTTCATCCCCCCCTCCCAGCTGGGTGAGCTCCCAGTCCAGGTAGGAGTGCCAGGCCCTCAGCTGGGTCCGGTCCAGAGGCTTCACGTGGAAATACGGACGCTTGATCTGGAATGAAGGGAGGAATGGGAACAGAAGGGAAGATAAGTCAATGTTTCCAACCAATGAAAGTGTCACACTTCAATCATAGCTTCTGAGTTGCACATAGAAGGGATGAGTGTGTGTGTGTCTGTCAGAGGTAACTCACAGCTTCCTCAAAGTTCCACCTCTTCCTGACCTCTCCCTCCAGGTCCTGGTACACCTTCTCCCTGCGAGCCAATAGGAGTTCTCGCATCTTCGGAATCAGCTCTTCCTGATTGGGTGAACCGTAACATGACAGTTTTGATGACAGACTTTTAAATCAGTTTAACAGAGTTAGATCGTATACTGTAACCTCACTCCACAGCTTAAAATGTCTCCACTATCTGCTATTTTGGCAGCATCTGACACTCATTTTAAATATTTATCCAACACTAGCAGGGATTTGTCATTTTTAAACCACCTCTGTAGGTTCCTTCTCTTCCCCAGGTGGTAACTCATCTTCCCCCTCAGCCAGCTCAGACTTCTCAGTCTTGTGGCTCTGTTTAGATTCCTCAAGCAACCCCTCATACTCCTCTGCTGAGAGGACGTCCTTGGGCGCATGGGCATTAAGATGAGTCTTGAATCTGTAAGAGAGAGAGAGAGAGGAGGGATGGAGAGAGTGGATAAGATTCACCAGGTCAGCAAATATGAGGTCCCGATTAAGAAGTGAGCTTGATAATCATCCAATTATCAAAATCTAGAATTTAATCCAATGTTAAAATGTCATAGTTTTGACTGATTTGAAGCGCTACTGTTTCTGAATGTGTATAGTCTCACTTCTCATAGTGGCTGCTGTACAGCTGAGTGGGGATTCTGAGGACTCTGTCGTAGACTCCAGTGGCAGCCTTCATGTCTCCCTGCTCCTTCTCCCACTCGATGTACAGCTCCCACAGACGGTCAGAGTGGAAGTCCAGTCCTGCTGCCACCACCGCCTCCTCAAATGCACTGGGGAGAATAGACAAGGGACAAGGATCAGTCAATCGGATTTATATAAAAATAGTTGTTTAAACATTAAGCTTTTGAATGAGAATAAGTACTGAATTAAAAAATGTGGAGTGTTCTGGCTAGTGTTGAATGTAAAGATGGCAAAAGAAGTAAACAAATGTGTATAAGTGTGACACTGACTTTAAGAGTGTATGAGTGTGTACCTGCGAATGCGCTGAGAGGACTCTGGCAGGTTCATGTTGAGCGTGCCCAGTAGCAGGTTAATGTAGTGGATCCACAAATCTACGCTCAGAGGGATGGCCTTCAGACCCTGAACACATACCTGGAACAACACAAAAACATTATGAAGGAATCACATCACTTAGATCATTTCCTAGTGCCAAAGACTTTCAAAAAATGTAGCACTGCAGTGTGTGCTCTTTGTTTAGTCAATGGCTATTAAACATAGCAGATGCTGGTTATTAAACAACTAATTGACCGACATCGGTTCAATTACTGTAATTCCATTTAGTAGAGCGAGGGATAGAGACAGTTCATGAAAGAATACCTGATCTACTTTGAAAAACTAGTAAAATAATTGTCAGACAGCTCTGCAGCATGCTTAGGCAGACTAGCCTGGCTAAATAGGATGACTAAAGACAGTACAGTATGGGGAGCAGAGATAACATTAGATGGTTGTCTGCCTGTCTGCTACTGCCTGAGCAGAGATCAGTTGATGACTAAGGAATTAACAATTATAAAGTCATCAAATAAAAGTAAGTAATTTTAAATGAAATATTTTATTATTTCATAGTAATTTCCTATTTTTCTATGTGGACCTGACAGAGACAATGGAATATTTTAAATGTTTTGGCAATTGAATGTTCACTATTTTTGGCTTTGGAATTTCCATTAAATAGGTATTTCATAATGCATTTAATGTAAAAAACAATAATAATCTAAACAGAAATCGAAAACAGTGATTTTTGGTATATATATAATCAAACCAAAACGACCTAAAAAAAAGCACTAATCGCTCAGCACTAGAAGACACACATCCATGTCACTCTTCTTCATCATACCTCCTGAGCTTTGTTGGTGTAGCCTGCACGTCGCTCCAAGTCGGCAAACTTCTTCCAATATCCGTAGCACAGGGGGTAACGCGCCAGAAAGGCAACCAGCGCTCGACGTGATGCTGTCATGTGACTCTGGGGACCATTAGAACTCTGGGTTAGCTGCAAATTCACTAAGGAACAATGAGTTTAGTTGTCAGTTTAGTTTAAATCATTATTGATGTGAAGTGTTGGTTTCCACTTCAACACTGCATTCCTTAACAACAGTAATATGGTTAGCTATGAATGTATTATTCACGCAGAAGAGCTTTGGTTGTATGTCAAAATGCCAATAGGAATCTTGTCTGTCCCCTCACCTCTTGCTCACTGTACTGCAGCAGGTCAGTCCAGCTAGAGAAGTCCTGTGGATTGTCATGGGCCAGTTTCCAGAGTCGGTCAAAGTCCACCGGCAACTCTCCGTCCTCTTCCTCCTCATTCTCCACCAGAGGCATGTTGTATGCTGTCGCAGCTGCTGCTTCTGAAGCCTCTTCTCCACCATTCTCCTCTGATGCCTCTTCCATCTCCGTTGGAGGTTGGACAGCCTCCATGGCTTCCGGAGCTATCAAATGAGAAATTGAGAAAGTTACACAGGGAAGAAAATGGTTTTATCTATAACACAAAGAAATGGCAGGCCTGCTCGATAACGCATAAGCAGATGTCATTTACGGATGAAATGTAGATTAATGCCATTATATGGGGAATTCCAGTCACTGATGGTATTTGTAGCCATTCATTCATTCATTAGGATTTATAGATACTACACACAGATCATGACGTCGGCAATGTCAACAAATGGCATAAACTGCTGAAATTCAGCAGGGCAACTGCGATTTATGTCTGCATCTACAGTAGTTAGATTAGATTAATATACTATAACAAAATAACCAGCCTGGTAAGTACTAGCTAGTTCATTTACTCTGGTACTAACTAGGGGAAAGCCTATTTTTGTTTCGCCAGTTTGCGCAACATAAATTAATGTTAGCCATGTCGGCTAGTTAGAAAGCTAGCCATCGTTTCACATGCGTCGTTGCGACTGCTAGCTGACATGTGAAGTTACAAACGACTATGCATATGATCTCTGCGTTACTCCTGAATAAGTTCGTCAATATATTTGTATTATTTAATACTTTTACAACCTGAAGGATCCTCCATTAGCCCGTTGCTGCTCAGGTCTTCTAAATCCGAGCCTTCGGCCGCCATGATTGAAAATGCCAAAAATTACGTCACTCCCATGCGACAAGTACCTTCTGCAAGAGGTCGTCACTAGTTACCACATCCACAAAGTTATAAACCCCGCCTATTTCTAAACCAAACCCTATTTCTCTTCTTAAAAAATGTGATTTTAAATCTAACCTTAACCCTGACCTTAACCACCTTGCTAACCTTATGCCTAACCATAACCTTAAATTAAGACCAAAAATATGTTTTTTTCATTATCGTTTACGATATAGCCCATTTTGACTTTGTGGCTGTGGTAACTAGTCGGCATAAAAACGTTGGTCCGTGTTATCTGGGATCCCTGGGACGGCTATACCTCCCATTACTCCATTGAAGTTGACGTTTATAATGGTTACGGTAAGGGTTAAGGTTAGGGTAGGTGTTAAAGTTACGGCAAACGTTGGCTAGCAAAGCTCAAGACGTCTACAACAGAAGGCTACTGAGCGGAGCCCTGCTTATTATAATGGCTGGAATGTTATCAAACACTTGGAAACTGTGTTTAATGTGTTCGATACAATTCCATTTATTCATTTCCAGCCAGTACTATGAGCCCGTCCTCCCTAATTAAGGTGCCACCGGCCACCTGTAGAGAAACAAGTCATCGGTCTAACGGTCGTCTCCCGTCGAACTGCACATGTGCAGGCCGTCAAATCAAACGCACTCCTTCGATATAAAGTTGTTTTAGACAGAAATGAAAACGTGTCAGTTTGTCACTTTCACGAGGTTGGAGTAATAACATGTTCAACTACATAATTGGCTCTTATCTAGGTTGTGCCTTTAGATTGAGAAAATTAACTAAGGAATAATTTTTCACTTCTCTCATTGACTTCTCAAACCCCGGCATGGTCTGTTTTGGTATATTTTGCAAACGTTCAGCGTTGATTTAGGGTCAGTTTCGACATATATTTCACAGACAGTATTCATAGGAAAAGATAAGCGGACCCTGATCAGTGACTTTTCTTAAAAATGGCTGGTATTATCGTAGTCCAAACTCGTATTCTGTACAGACACAATTGTAAAGAAAAGATTTAGGTTTACACAATATCTTTCTTTGGTACAACAAAACAAAGACATTTGATTGGGAATGTACAGTTACTTTATTACCACCCCTATCTACGTAAGCCGCATTAATTAATATAATTAAAAACAACAATGCCCTCTCACATTTGGTCAAGTTTATTTTAACTTGGTCTGCCATCTTATCACATACAACGGGCCTCCTTGCTTCCCGGTTCCAACACCTAAGAACACACTTCCGGAGAATGTTGCAGTAAGATTTTAATCCTCAACCACAAAATAATCAAGAAAAACTCTTCAAAATGCTTTATCACCAAGGACAGTAGGGAACACAACAACCCCAAAAATATGCTTTCATCAACCATGACCGGTCCCTTGTCTCCAGAGAATTCACAGCATATTTGTAAACTAACTACATTTCTATATCTCTAATTATTTATCCCCCCCCCCTTTCTTAGTCACATTTAGACAAATTTGATCAACAATGTAAAGAGCATATGACACTCTGAAGACACTGGACCGTGACCGTGTACCCCAACCCACAATCTAACCCCAATGCCTGACCCTAACTGCTTTAGGTTCAATCTGGACAAAAAGCTCTCAGCTTCCTCTCTTCAAGTGCATTTGAAAATCAAGTAAACAAATTGAACATAGACAAGTCAGAACAGAAACATGTTATTAGGATGAATTTCCAAAAGTCAGTGGTTCTAACCCCTGAATAATTCCAATATGAGCAAACTTAAAAAGCCAAATCCCCTTCCATTAAGTTGTTACTGACCATGTGTTTCATGTCTTTTACCACCAGTACATTAAAACATGACATAGTAATGACTGATGTAAGTACACACAATCTGATCAGAAACTAATTCGGGGACAAACTAAGGAGGAATGAGTAACCTTAAATGAGGGATATTAGGCGATAAGACTCAATACACCTTATGGCAATAAGAAGAGAAATGCACATGACATTTACAGATGGTCTTTGATCAGTGCAGCATTGTTGCTTGGTGGAGCGTTTAAAATAAAACCTGAATAGAAAGTAGCACGAGTTGAAAGTAAAATGGAGCGATTTGGCTTTCCTGTTGATTGCTCTTCAGTAATTACAAGGGGTAATGGAATGAAAACTTGAAATAAATCATTTAAAGTCATAAAACATGGCCATATGGAATTATTATTAAATACTAACTACACTACAGCCTCTGTCTGAATGTCTTAATTTTGTTGTCAGCAAACTTATTCAATGATCTCTTACATCTAAAGCATACTTGACGGAAAACCAACAAAAAAAAAAATCATCCATCGGACTTGAATGTCTTTGAGTACTCTCAAACATTCACTACAACATCATCATGGTTTGAACTGTGAATAATTTTTCCCTAAATGCAACTAACAAACAATAATCTACCTGGTAACCCTTCAGTAAGTTGACCAACTGTCAGTTTGACTGAATGCAAGATGGACATGGAAGAGACGCGGTTCAGATCTACAGGCAGTGTTTGTTTGCAAGCTTGTTATGGAACATTGTGTGTTTGGATAGTCCTGTATCCCCTGTCTAGTCTGTGTACCACATTAGAGCAGTCCTTCCAATATCTTGCTTGGTGCATTACGATTGCAACCCGTGTCCACTCAGTCCCTCCATCTCTCTCCTTTCCTGTTCAGTCGTCATCCTCCCCCTTTTTCATCTCCTTGGTTACTGAAGCACCACAGTCCAGTCCACCCCTGCGTTGACGCCCGGCTTGCGAAGTGTTAACACTGACATGGAGGCATCGAACTCAAACTCCAGCAGACTCTCCTTACCATCTACAGAGAGAAAGACATCAGAATAGATCAATAACAGTCATTTGAGACTGACCTGCCATTATACACACAGTAATCAATATACACAAAGAATGACACTAGTTTACTCCAATTGGGGAAGGGGTGGTGGGGTTAGAAAGTAATGAAGGGACATTTTATTTTAAAAAGGATGTGTGTGTGTGTGTGTGTGTATGGATGTATGTATATATACACAGTATCTCACAAAAGTGAGTACACCCCTCACATTTTTGTAAATATTTGAGTATAATCTTTTCATGTGACAACACTGAAGAAATGACAATTTGCTACAATGTAAAGTAGTGAGTGTACAGCTTGTATAACAGTGTAAATTTGCTGTCCCCTCAAAATAACACAACCCACAGCCATTAAATGTCTAAACCTGGCAACAAAAGTGAGTACACCCCTAAGTGAAAATGTCCAAATTGGGCCCAAAGTGTCAATATTTTGTGTGGCCACCATCATTTTCCAGCACTGCCTTAACCCTCTTGGGCATGGAGTTCACCAGAGCTTCACAGGTTGCCACTGGAGTCCTCTTCCACTCCTCCATGACGACATCATGGAGCTGGTGGATGTTAGAGACTTTGCACTCCTCCACCTTCCGTTTGAGGATGCCCCACAGATAGGGTTTAGGTCTGGAGACATGCTTGGCCAGTCCATCACCTTTACCCTCAGCTTCTTTAGCAAGGCAGTGGTCGTCTTGGAGGTGTGTTTGGGGTCGTTATCCTGTTGGAATAGTGCCCTGCGGCCCAGTCTCCGAAGGGAGGGGATCATGCTCTGCTTCAGTATGTCACAGTACATGTTGGCATTCATGGTTCCCTCAATGAACTGTAGCTCCCCAGTGCCAGCAGCACTCATGCAGCCCCAGACCATGACACTCCCACCACCATGCTTGACTGTAGGCAAGACACACTTGTCTTTGTACTCCTCACCTGGTTGCCGCCACACGCTTGACACCATCTGAACCAAATAAGTTTCTTGGTCTCATCAGACCACAGGACATGGTTCCAGTAATCCATGTCCTTAGTCTGCTTGTCTTCAGCAAACTCTTTGCAGGCTTTCTCGTGCATCATCTTTAGAAAAGGCATCCTTCTGGGACGACAGCCATGCAGACCAATTTGATGCAGTGCGCGGCGTATGGTCTGAGCACTGACAGGCTGACCCCCGACCCCTTCAACCTCTGCAGCAATGCTGGCAGCACTCATACGTCTATTTCCCAAAGACAACCTCTGGATATGACGCTGAGCATGTGCACTCAACTTCTTTGGTCGACCAAGGCAAGGCCTGTTCTGAGTGGAACCTGTCCTGTTAAACCGCTGTATGGTCTTGGCCACTGTGCTGCAGCTCAGTTTCAGGGTCTTGGCAATCTTCTTATAGCCCAGGACATCTTTATGTAGAGCAACAATTCTTTTTTCAGATCCTCAGAGTTCTTTGCCATGAGGTACCATGTTGAACTTCCAGTGACCAGTATGAGAGTGTGAGAGCGATGACACCAAATTTAACACACCTGCTCCCCATTCACACCTGAGACCTTGTAAAACTAACGAGTCACATGACACCGGGGAGGGAAAATGGCTAATTGGGTCCAATTATGACATTTTCACTTAGGGGTGTACTCACTTTTGTTGCCAGCGGTTTAGACAATGGCTGTGTGTTGTGTTATTTTGAGGGGACAGCAAATTTACACTGTTATACAAGCTGTACACTCACTACTTTATATTGTAGCAAAGTGTAATTTCTTCAGTGTTGTCACATGAAAAGATACTCAAATATTTACAAAAATGTGAGGGGTGTACTCACTTTTGTGAGATACTGTGTATATATACACATACATCCATACACACACACTTGTGATATATATATATATATATATATATACACACACACACATACACATATACACACACATACATATGTATATGTATATTTGCGAGAAAAAAAACCATATGGGGGATTGGAAGTGATGCAGACAATTACATTGATGGAAGTTAAAATCTATCTGAAATATTAAAGCTGATCTACCCCCTAAAAAAATACAATAATAATTTTTAAAAAATTTAAATGACAGTTTTATCGCCCAACTGTTTCTGTCTCATAATTGCCTACTTGGGTGTGAAAACAGGAAACATTCAAACACACAATGACTTACTGGCATCTTAACTAATCCATAGAACTAATAAGACAGTGGGAAAAACTCACCAGGAGTCTTTAGAGTGACCTTGCTGGGCTTACTGGCCCCCAATATGACAATCTTCTCAATCCATGAGGGAGTGGTGAACTGGGAACCAGGGGCCAGGTTCCTGCAGGGAGAGAGAGGGAATTCAGAGTTACACTCACCATAGACAAAAAGCAAGGAGAGTAACAACGAATGTAAACATTATGTGAGAGAAATGATCTGACAGACCTGGAGGACAGGGCGTTATTGGCAAAGGAAAGTCTTCTGTGGATGAACTGCTTCTGTTTGTCAAAGTTGAAGGTGTGGCCGTCGTCTATGTAGAGCTCACCCTGGGCAAATCTCTAACGGACATAAAATATGAAAATGTTAAAAGGTCAAATCCTGAATCCCACTTCTCATGCTGCAGAAATCCATCCAAATGGGGGACACAGTATAAGTGACAAGGTGTGTGTTTGTGTTACCTTGGGGCTGAGGGCAACGAATAAGGTGTAGGGGTCGTGTTCCATGCAGGATGATGACCTTCGAACCCGGGCCTTCCTGGGGATAATGGAACCACCGCGCTGGAATACCGGAATCTGGGAACGAGAGAGAGTCAGACAGGGAGTGTCTTTCCAAGCTTACACAATTCTCTCAACAGAACTTAATATGGTCTTAATAAGCATTTAGCCCCCTGAGCATGAGTGTGTTGTAGAGTTTCTTACAGAGCTCATGGTGACAGGGATATAGAGGTTCTGGGCTCCGTTGTGTTTCTGGAACGTGTGGACGTCAAACCAGACCTGAAGGACACAGAACAGAGCAGTTAGGAGAGGGTTTCAAATAGACGGCTGACATACCCTACACAATACTTATAATAGTAACATAACGTTATGACAGTTCCTGAGAGAGACTCACCTCTCCTTTTCCAGGCAGATAGGCAGTAACACCCCTGGCCCCCTCCTCAGTCACGGGGTGCACCAGCAGATCTTTCCCTGAACCAGCAGGATAGGTGGAATGTGACTCAGTCATGGTATCAGTCATAAAAGGTAAGCAAATACAGGAATATCTATTGACACTGAGCTATACTAGGGAATAACACGATCTCGCTCACCAAGCAGGAACTGGTCATCCATGGAGAACGTGGCCGTATCCTGAGGATACTCCACCCACAGGGGTCTCATGACGGGCTGGCCAGTGTGGTGGGCGTGGTAGAACAGCTGGTACCAGTAGGGCAGGAGGGCGTAGCGCTGGCGGACAGCCTCCCTGATCAGAGCCGTGTTCTCGGGCCCAAACAGCCAGGGCTCCCTGCGGGGGGTGTCCAGATGGGCATGGGCCCGGAAGAAGGGCTGGTACGCTCCCGTCTGGTACCAGCGCACCAGGAGCTCAGTACTGGGAGACTTGAAGAAGCCACCAACATCAGCTAGGAGAGGGGGAGAGAGGAGGAGGATGAGCAGTGGTACAGAGATAACCATTTACAATGTGGTGGGGTGTAAAGAAACAGGTAATGAACCATAATAATGTCATGTAAACAAGTAATGTAAACAAGCAGATAACCCCAACATAAAATGTTGCTAAATATTTCCAATGTATTAATTTCTAAGCTGTGGCTTTTAGTGGAGAGGAAAACAGGGGTGTTAGCTAAGACTGAGTCAGACTCACCTCCACAGAAAGAGACACCAACTAGGCCCAGGCTGAGACACATGGGGATGGAGATCTTCAGATGGTCCCACTCAGCAGCGTTATCACCTGTCCACACAGCACCGTAGCGCTGGGAGCCAGCGAAGAAGGCTCTGGTCAGGACAAATGGCCTCTCCACTCCCCCTGAACGTTCAATCAGACCCTCTGCTGTGGCCCTTTGCTGAGGGAGAGAGGAGAGGTGGTTACTGCAAGTAGCAAAGCTCAGTAGAAACATTAACAGTCATTTCTTCAAGAAAAAGTATTGAGGTAATAACCTGGAGATCCTACTACTACAGAGGAAGGCCTACTGGATATCCTATCTAAAAACACTGACCCCTAGTGGTCTGAATATTGACTTTGATCTCAGGGCCTTCCTATGAACAATACTTCTTGCTTCTTTATGAACAAGTCTTATAAATGAATATATTCTTTCTACAGCTTATCAGCGTACACTCAATATGTTCCCCCTGTTGATGATGCTTATTATGCATTATGGTTGAACAAAAATATTACATGTCCCTGTAAAAATGTAACAAAAATGTAATTAAATTGGAAACAATTAAATATATATAGATATAATTAAACAATAATGTATGTTGATGCTAATATTATGTACAATATCTAATGATGTTTCCATATGATAACAACAGCCTAATATATTCTATATGCTGGAAACTATCGTATTTTAACAGTTTCACTCAATTCATTCTAATCAATCTAATTATTATGACACACCCCTCTCTATTGTCATTGGTTGCACTAATTCTCTACATAACCTGGTTCAAGCTTTCATGAAGTCACCCTGAAGAAGGCACAGTGATGCCGAAACGTTGGTGTTTTACCCAATAAATTATCTTCTGTATAGCCCCCTACCTTGTCACAACACAACTAATTGGCTCACATGCATTAAGAAGGAAAGACATACTACAAATTAACTTTTAACAAGGCACACCTGTTAATTGAAATGCATTCCAGGTGACTACCTCATGAAGCTGGTTGAGAGAATGTCAAGAGTGTGCAAAGCTGTCATCAAGGCAAAGGGTGGCTATTTGAAGAATCTCAAATATAAAATATATTTAGATTTGTTTAACACTTTTTTGGTTCCTAAATTATTCCATATGTGTTATTTAATATTTTTGACGTCTTCACTATTATTCTACAACGTAGAAGAAGAAAAATATAGAAGAAAAACCCTTGAATGAGTAGGTGTGTCCAAACTTGACTGGTTATGTATGTATGTATGTATGTATGTATGTATGTATATTAGTGTGCAACTATTTATTTTTTAAGAAAAAGTCTACCATTGCCCCAGTTCTAGTGAAGATGTGGCACACACTCACTCACCACGTAGAGTCCATAGAGGTTGTGGAGGTCACGGTTCTCCCATTTCCCGTGCAGGGCATCTTTATGCATGGTGACCTCTGGTCCGTTAAACACTGAAGGCTCGTTCATATCGTTCCAAGTATACATGTTCTCCATGGAACCCTGAGATCAGAGACGGGAATGAGATACAGTGGGGGGAAAAAAGTATTTAGTCAGCCACCAATTGTGCAAGTTCTCCCACTTAAAAATATGAGAGAGGCCTGTAATTGTCATCATAGGTACACGTCAACTATGACAGACAAAATGAGAAAAAAATATCCAGAAAATCACATTTATTTGCAAATTATGGTGGAAAATAAGTATTTGGTCAATAACAAAAGTTTCTCAATACTTTGTTATATACCCTTTGTTGGCAATGACACAAGTCAAATGTTTTCTGTAAGTCTTCACAAGGTTTTCACACACTGTTGCTGGTATTTTGGCCCATTCATCCATGCAGATCTCCTCTAGAGCAGTGATGTTTTGGGGCTGTCGCTGGGCAACACGGACTTTCAACTCCCTCCAAATATTTTCTATGGGGTTGAGATCTGGAGACTGGCTAGGCCACTCCAGGACCTTGAAATCCTTCTTACGAAGCCACTCCTTCATTGCCCGGGCGGTGTGTTTGGGATCATTGTCATGCTGAAAGACCCAGCCACGTTTAATCTTCAATGCCCTTGCTGATGGAAGGAGGTTTTCACTCAAAATCTCACGATACATGGCCCCATTCATTCTTTCCTTTACACGGATCAGTCGTCCTGGTCCCTTTGCAGAAAAACAGCCCCAAAGCATGATGTTTCCACCCCCATGCTTCACAGTAGGTATGGTGTTCTTTGGATGCAACTCAGCATTCTTTGTCCTCCAAACACAACAAGTTGAGTTTTTACCAAAAAGTTCTATTTTGGTTTCATCTGACCATATGACATTCTCCCAATCCTCTTCTGGATCATCCAAATGCACTCTAGCAAACTTCAGACGGGCCTGGACATGTACTGGCTTAAGCAGGGGGACACGTCTGGCACTACAGGATTTGAGTCCCTGGCGGCGTAGTGTGTTACTGATGGTAGGCTTTGTTACTTTGGTCCCAGCTCTCTGCAGGTCATTCACTAGGTCCCCCCGTGTGGTTCTGGGATTTTTGCTCACCGTTCTTGTGATCATTTTGACCCCACGGGGTGAGATCTTGCGTGGAGCCCCAGATCAAGGGAGATTATCAGTGGTCTTGTATGTCTTCCATTTCATAATAATTGCTCCCACAGTTGATTTCTTCAAACCAAGCTGCTTACCTATTGCAGATTCAGTCTTCCCAGCCTGGTGCAGGTCTACAATTTTGTTTCTGGTGTTCTTTGACAGCTCTTTGGTCTTGGCCATAGTGGAGTTTGGAGTGTGACTGTTTGAGGTTGTGGACAGGTGTCTTTTATACTGATAACAAGTTCAAACAGGTGCCATTAATACAGGTAACGAGTGGAGGACAGGGGAGCCTCTTAAATAAGTTGTTACAGGTCTGTGAGAGCCAGAAATCTTGCTTGTTTGTAGGTGACCAAATACTTATTTTCCACCATAATTTTCAAATAAATTCATTAAAAATCCTACAATGTGATTTTCTGGATTTTTTTCTCTCAATTTGTCTGTCATAGTTGACGTGTACCTATGATGAAAATTACAGGCCTCTCTCATCTTTTTAAGTGGGAGAACTTACACAATTGTTGGCTGACTAAATACTTTTTTCCCCCACTGTATTTGAGCAACAGCTTTGATGGCAAAAGTCAAACCTGGGCAGAAGGGACTTACCTCATACTGATCGTAGGCAAACATACTGGCCCACCAAGCTCTCATCTCAGGGTTGGTAAAGTCTGGGTAACCAGAATTACCTAGAATAGAAAGAGGAAAGATTAGAGATGTTGAATACTTGCAATGTGTTTTTCTGTAATTAATTTCCTTCACTTTCTTTGATTGTGGATCAGACTAATTTCCCCATCCCTTACCAGGCCAGCACCAGCCCTCGTAGTCTCCACCATCTTTGTTTTTGACGTAGAAGCCTTTGGAGCGGATCTCATTGTGGATCTTGTAGTTGCTGTCCACCTTGATGTGGGGGTCCACAATGGTCACCATCTAATGGTACAGGGGGGAACATGAGGGAGAAGGAAAATAGCAAAACTGAGATGAGACAACTTGTCAACGTGTCACAGAACCTTTTACTTTTTTCATTCTTCAGCCTTTTATCCAGTCAAGTCCCAATAAGACAGAAACGTCTTCTACAAGGGAGCCCTGGCCAGACAGCTGTAACACATGAATGTGCTCACCTTGCGTCTCTTGTCTACCAGACCCTGCAGCATGTCTTTGGGCTGGGGGAACTTGTGAGGGTCCCAGGTGAAGTAACGCTTGCCGTCCGTGTGCTCTATGTCCAGCCAGATGAAGTCGTAGGGGATGTCATGCTCGTCGAAGCCCTGGTCCACTGCCGCCACATCCTCCTGGTCATTGTAGTTCCAGCGGCACTGGTGGTAAGCCAGTGAAGAGAGAGGAGGGAACGCCTGGGTACCTGGAGGGGAGAGAGAGCTGGGTGGTCATATACAGATAGTTGTATTATGAGGGACCATGGTGGCAGGCCAGCGCAGACAGGGGAGGGAAGGCCTGGGTACCTAAGCCTATATGCAATGGCACAAGGCCTGGGGAGGATGTCAGGTTCTCTGACATTTCAAATGGGACAAAAAAAATATTCTGTTATGTTTGGAGGAAAAAGGTGGTGGCTTGCAAGCTGAAGAACACCATCCCAACCATGATGCACGGGGGTGGCAGCATCATGCTGTGGGGGTGCTTTGCTGCAGGAGGGACTGGTGCACTTCACAAAATAGATGGCATCATGAGGAAGGAAAATTATGTGGATATATTGAAGCAACATCTCAAGACATCAGTCAGGAAGTTAAAGCTTGGTCGCAAATGGGTCTTCCAAATGGACAATGACCCCAAACATACTTCCAAAGTTGAGGCAAAATGGCTTAAGGACAACAAAGTCAAGGTATTGGAGTGGCCATCACAAAGCCCTGACCGCAATCCTATAGAAAATATGTGGGCAGAAATGAAAAAGCGTGTGCGAGCAAGGAGGCCTACAAACCTGACTCAGTTACACAAGCTCTGTCAGGAGGAATGGGCCAAAATTCACCCAACTTATTGTGGGAAGCTTGTGGAAGGCTACCTGAAACGTTTGACCCAAGTTAAACAATTGACAGGCAATGCTACCAAATACTAATTGAGTGTATGTAAACTTCTGACCCACTGGGAATGTGATGAAATAGCTTAAATAAATAATTCTCTATTATTATTCTGACATTTCACATTCTTAAAATAAAAGTGGTGATCCTAACACAAGGGAAGGCATTTTTACTAGGATTAAATGTCAGGAATTATGAAAAACTGAGTTTAAATGTATATGGCTAAGGTGTATGTAAACTTCCGACTTCAACTGTACATTGCCGGAAGCAAACAGTCTGCCTAGAGAGACTAGGTGTGTGAGGGTGATATGAGTGAAGTGGCACGATCTGCGACACTAACCTCTACAGGGACTTAGAAAATAGACTGGTGAACTGCAAAAGTGGACTGGGAATATGAACTGGGTTTCTGTAGTGGGAGTCTGACCTGTGAGTGAGGCATACTGGGAGAAGACGTCAGTGGGAGTGGGTCCCAGCATGATGAAGACGTCGATGATGCCGCTCTCTGAGATCCAACGCACGTCTGTCTGTGGCGTCTCACTGGAGCCCTGAACGTAGTCCAGCATTTGGCCAAACACTGTCTGCACAACCAGAGAGAACCAGCGTAGGGGTAAGAGGGTGCGTGTTCTCTCTGACAGTACCCTTCAATGTCTATATACAGGGTGGCTCAGAGGTGTGAGTCTCACTGGGAACCTGGAGAAAAAGGATTGACTGACTAACTGTGTGTGTGTGTGTGTCTTACCTTGCCGGCGGTGTTGGAGCTGATGTCCACCCAGGTCTCAGCAGCGTTGAGCCAGAAGATGCCCATGGTGCGCTGTGCACTATGGGACAGCATGACAGGGATGGCACCGTACAAGGCCATGGGGTTGAACACCTCATACTGGAACACGTCTAGGTTAAACAACCGGTACGGATCCCCTCCACTGGAAAATGCATACGTATATGTTATTGTACTGTCATATAGTTGGTCACTTCGTGTAATTAAAAATCTTCAACCCACAACGTTGAAAATAAAATAAAATGCATACACAAACAGAGCGTATAAGGATGTCTTGCACCCTCAGAAAATACATACGCTAGAAAACCATCTGAAAACATGCAGTAGTCTTAGTTAACTACTGTCTCAATGAACCAATGTCATGGCCAATGTCAGCGTCACTCACTCAGTGGTTTTGAGTTTGAGGCTGTCTGCGTGTTCTGGGATGCCATAGACGTTCTCCACCCCTGGCAGAGAGAAGTCCAGACTGATGGAGGAAGGGCCTAAGAGAGAGAACAGCCAATCAGGATATATTTAAAAACCAAATCAACACTGACTGGTCACTGTGACTAAAGCAAGTCATAAAACTCATCCAATCATAAAATAATATCTCCAGGAGATGAGCGGTGAGGACCCAGGATCAGAATACCAAGTCTTCAACTGCAAGCCGCCTCTTTCACCTGTCAATTGAAATTACGGGTCCACAGAAAAGTGTCCGTACCATTGGGTTTGCTGTCTTTGTGCGATTTGAATGTTTCCTCCCACATTCCATCTTCCACTTTCTCATCCTCCTTTACAGTCTAGGAAGGAAGGAACAAACAATGGTGGAGACAGATGGAAATAATTGGAGAATAGCATTGTTGTGGAGAGAGAGAATGGGGAAATCAACAGAAAGGGGTTTGATTTCAGCCCATTGGCAAAGGCAGTAATGGTACAATAGAAAGCAGTGTTACAAAACCCTTTAACTGCATCTCTTGTTCAGTTCAATGATCCTAAATCAGAAGCCTGGGGGAAACCTTGGTTACAGTGTTACCTCTCCCTCCCTCACACCCTCACACACCTCCTCCTCCTCTCCTCCTGCCGGTTCGTTGGCAGCATCAGTTTCTTCTTTCTTCTCAGTTCCTTCTGGGTCTACCTGACTGTGGGGGAGAGAGAGAAATGTCACCAAAACAGACTGAGTAAATACAAATCCCAATAGGTACAAGAAGCACACAGGGAAGAGGGAACATAAATAAGGAAAATCATTATGACCCCACACAGCCTTCTCACTAGAATGAAAATAGAGTTAGTGTCAAACTACTTCACCCTCTAAGATTTCACTCTAATGACAAGGGGGAACAAGAGGAGAACAATTCCCTACCTTGTGGTTATTTTGAGCTAAACACCAAGAGACTACCCCCCAAATACTACCAGTACCCTGCATTACACACATACCTCCTCCTACAGCACACACTGACCAGCACAAACAAGCCTTGAGAAAGATAGATTTTGGTCTACTCAGTGCTATGGGATTAGACTACGCAGCCTCTACATATAACATGACTGTTGGGGTCAACGGAGTGGTGAAATGGCTGTACCATGAAGACGTTTGAAGTAAAAATAAAAAATAAAAGTGTGGGAGGAAAAAGGCTTGTGAACTACTCTGAAGACGGGTAAAGAGCAAACCAAATGGTAGTGAGCCTAGAACTGGCTTTCATGCCTAGACAGGAAAATAAGTCACCACATCCTTGAGCCATTTGGGCATGTCATTTTTGGATGTCTAAACTTGTATAACAACTCCATACTCCTACATTGCCAGCACAGACAAACACAAACCTACAAAGCTGAAGGAATTTACCTAGAGAATACCCACTTGATGTTTTCCCACATGTTATTAACTTTGCTTTTTATCTTATAGGAGATGCTGAAAGGTAGAAGAGAAGAACGGAACAGAATGGAAGAAAATAATGATGAAATGGAGAAACAATACCAAGCAGTGAAAAAGCAAGAAAACAAACAAAGAAACATGTATAAAGATCATCAAGGACATCAACCACCCGAGCCACGGCCTGTTCACCCCGCTATCATCCAGAAGGCGAGGTCAATACAGGTGCATCAAAGCTGGGACCGAGAGAATGAAAAATAGCTTCTATCTCAAGGCCATCAGGCTGTTAAATAGCCATCACTAGCACATTAGAGGCTGCTGCTGCCTATTGAAATCACTGGCCACATTAAGAAATGGAACACTAGTCACTTTAATAATGTTTACATATCTTGCACTACTCATCTCATATGTATATACTGTATTCTATTCTATAATATTCTACTGTATCTTCGTCCATGCCGCTCTGTCATGGCTTGTCCATATATGTATATATTATTCAATTCCATTCCTTACTAGATTTGTGTGTATTGGGTATATGTTGTGAAATTGTTAGATATTACTTGATAGATACTAATGCACTGTCGGAGCTAGAAGCACAAGCATTTCACTACACCCACAATAATATCTGCTAAACACGTGAATGTGACAAATAAAATGAGGGATATGGGTGTGTATGGGTGTCACTCACGTATCCTTGCGGATCCGGAGGTGCTCAAAGGCCAGCAGGCCACGGGAGTTAAGTGACAGAAGAACCTCCCGCCCCTCCATGATGTCCAATCGGAACGGCTTAGCGCTGACGATCAGCCGCTGAGAGTCTGCCCCCAAAGACAGAACCACCCCGTTCTCATCCTGAGACAGGAGAGACAAACTGAGGAAGAAGAGGGAGAGCGAGAGAACGAGATGAGTGTGAAAGAGATAAAATAATGGGTGGAAACAATAAGGCAACAGAAAACACACAAATAATGTACATGAAATTATTCTGTGTATCTTGTCTCCACTGTCCATTCACACAGATGTATTCTCTCTTGGTGCTGGAGGCTATAACATTATCAACAAATCTAAGCCACTTCCTGAGAGCCAGGCCATGTATTTACTGCATGCCCTCAGGTAGTGTTTTCCTGCTTCCTCCACTAGCCTCCACTAACTAAATTTCCTTTTAACTCTGTCCTAACCAATTATTTAATTCTCCCCATCCACATGGCTCAATGTCACCCATCACCCACCCACTACTCCAGATGGCTGCCTGTGAGACTTACGGCTCTGTGGGAGGGTCGTTGATGAGCACATCGGGGACCTCAAAACGAGGCTTCAACGGCTTCAACTCATTTATCTTCACCCTGGTCATGTTGCCCTGGAGACGATAGAGCTCAAGCAGCAGACGCACCTGAGGGAGCGGGGGAGAGAGGGAGGGGTAGAATGAGGGCTAAAAAATACAAGAGACCAGGACCCAAAGGGGTTTTAACACACCTGTTAATATATGTATATATGTACAATAACATATTACATCATCTGTGAATTAAAGTCTGTGTGTATGTGTGTGTGTGTAACAAACCTTGTTGTTGTCATTGATGAGCTGCAGTGTGAGTTTGGTGTTGGTGAGCTCCAGGGTCTCCAGCAGGGCTCTGTACGGGGACTGGCCAGGCTTCAACGCTCGCTGACGCCTGAGTGCACAAACACACATCGAGTTAACACAAACCCTGATAAACATGTTGTGTGGATGTAGAAGTACATATTGTGAACACTGGACCATAAGTGAGGAAGAGAATGGGGGTAGACTTGTTGAGGGCTTACACATTACCTATCAGTCACTTAGACACTGACCGTACACAATCAATGAGAGTAGACTATGTCTATGATGCTGCAAAGTGCTGTAGCTGCGTATCGTCCAGGACTTACTTGCAGAAGGCACTCTGGTCACAGGTTTTGAAGTTCCCCCGGTCCACCGCCCAGGTCCCACTGAGGCAGACAGCCAGCCACAACACTAACAGAGGCCCCATCCTGAGAGGGCAGAAGAGAGAAACAGAAAATGGGAAGTAAATGTTAAGAGAATGAAATACTTCATACGTTCAGCTCTGTAATGTTACAGTGATAGATAATGATGCTGACAACGAGTCATAAACGCCTCGACCACTGTTTCCCAACTCCTCGAGTACCCCCAACAGCACACATTTCTGTTGTGCCCCCAGACAAGCAGTCCTGATTCTACTTGTCAACTAATCATCAAGCCCTTGACAAGTTTAATCAAGTGTTTTTGTCTGGGGCTACAACAAAAATGTATGCTGTACTCAAGGATCAAAGTTGGGCAACACTGGCCTAGACGGTGAAATGTATGTGGAAATGTACACTAAAATTGACTTTAACCAAGTTATACTTCCTCAAAAAACGTTAATACAAATGGCACTTGCTGAAATGACAACCGGAAGCAGCCTATCCTGTTGATTAACCTCGTCTAAAATGTTTATAATGAATCACTAACGTTACAGCTAGCTATATATGTTAATTAGTTAGTATGTATGGGTAATAGAAAGCCCATCTTTGGAAAAATATTATCTGGCTAGCATGGCTCCTTGTCGTGATTTGGGCTAGCTGCCTCGCGCTGTCCTAAAATGCTGGAAGATCTCTTCAGCTGGCCAGTTAGCTAGCTAACTGCTAACGTCGATTTGGTCCTGTCAAATCTAACTAGTTAGGCAACACCGGTCGCAGGCTAGCTAAATCCTCGTCCTAATACAAAATGTAGGACACAAAAGACAGATACGAACATATATTTCACCGTTCGAAATAGTTAGCGTACCCATGTACGTCCATCATCTAGCTAGTTAGATCATCCTGAAAGGTTAGCTGCTTAGAGCTCTCATACCGAGCGCTATTTCAATTCAAGAGGGCTCGCGCTTCTTCCTATGACTGCTGCTAGCTAGAGACAGTAAAACGATAACTCGACCAATCTACTCCCGGATATACAAGCTAATCACTGTGCATGCGAAATATTTTTCGAAACCACTAGTTAAATGCATAATTTAACCACCGAAATGCTTTGTCTTACCTTCCGAAGGCGGCCATCTTGGTTTAGTTCCAACCTTGGCCCAGCCCCGTTTCACGTCGAACTAACAAATATAGTGGAGAGTAACAATATTTTTTTTGCAGTCTTTAAATGTAGGACAAAATTCGACATTGGTGGATTATTTTCAATATTTATTGATTATATATACAATTCTCATCGTCAATTACATTCGAAACTATTATTTTGTATTTATGATTCTTCCGGAAGTTGTCCACCCGGTATATTCCGCTCCTTGTATTTCTTTATCCTCTTAAACACGGACACGTCAGCTCGAGGTGGTCAGTTCTGGAGCAATCATCTGTCATTTATTTGTACTACTCTGGTTGGACTGCACTTGCATCTTTTTCCTTCAGGGACAAACACACTTACAGGCTCTCCCAATATAAAACCACTTTGTGAACCATTTACACAGAGCATATGGAAATCAGAGCCAATCATCTTTTACATATGTATGGCTCTGTTTAGAATGGCATGCACATTTGGGGTCAATTCCTGAATTGAAAATTGCATTAAGTGTCAGCAAAGGTGTAGTGTTGATAGAATAACAGTCTTAGCTTTGCTGCACTCTTGCACATTTATTAGGAGATCTGGTTCAAACTTAAATCTGTATGTAAAGACATTTTAAGGAATATTTGAGTAATTCATCATATACCTGCAGACTGTGTTTGTACCTTTTCATTACAAAGTTGTATTTCTATTTCAATTTGAGAAAAAAATAGTTTTATTGAAATTCAGAACGCAGAACTACTGTAACTCAAAATGTAGACAGTCAAGTTCAAAGGCCAAATATTTGAAACAACAAAAATATGATCATCACTCTTTTTCCTGGTACTTTATTTATGGTATATTACATGTTTTTATCCCCCTACAGTAACAGCTACATACAAAATTCTACTTAATCTAGAAAATGATACAAAACAGGAGAGATAAACAGTAGATATAACATGCTCAGCATTTGGTGAAGTATATGCTTCAGAGTGCATACAGAACTAGATTAGTTATTGAGCGACAAACAAGAAAACAGCAAAGCAACATCAACACAATTCCCTATAACCAACCACCCCTATCCTAATTTTTCACAAACAATCCCAACCATCCCCCATCTTGCACCCTTTCCCTCTCCATCCCTCCCTCAGTTCTCTCCTTCCCTTGTTCAGAGCTGGAAACGCCAGCATAGATGCCCCAGCCGGTCAATGTTCTTATGCAGGACACTGTGGATGGGCGCTACGTATCTTGCCACGTCTCCGTCCCGCGAGAAATCCCGGCAGAACAGGCCCTTCTCGGCACTGAAGACAAACTTCTGTGGCATGGGGCCGTTGCCCCTCACATATTCCCACACAGCCAGGAGGAGAAGCCTCACCTCGAACGGCGTCAGGTAGGGGAAAGCCTCGTGGACGTTGCCCAGCACGGGGGGCAACAACTGGCCCTCGCCCATACAGGACACCAGCATGCAGGAGGCCTGGAGGTGCCACGGGGAGTCCACTGCCAAAGCCTCCCTCGAAGCCTCCCAGTGGGCTAGCAGAGTGGCCAGAAGGCCCCGGAGCACCGCAGAACAGTAACAGAGAGCAGGACGCCCGGCCGCCACAACATGGAGTAACGGAAAGAGGACAGGGTGGGCCTCGAAGCAGCGGCGGATGTGTATGTCACGTTCTACAGTGGTGCGGGCATGTTCCTCTGGCGGCCATGACAGTTCCCCGTTGGCCACGTCGGGGCAGATATACTCCACCAGCGTCACCGCCATCATTTTGGCTGCCTCAGCGTTGATGGGCGGCGGCTCGTCGGGAACGGAGGGCTGGTGTCGGGCGCCTCCACCGTTGCCGCCATTCCCAGATGGCGTGCTGCAGCACTGGACGGCGACAGCCAGCAGAGTCTGGACGTTCTGTATGACACTGGCTGGGTCGGGGTGAGGTGTAGCGCTGCGCTGCTTCAGACCCTTCCCTATCACCCCAGCATGGAACACAGACCACACGCTGCCAGAGAAGTTGACCGTGGTGCCGAACCTACAGTTGATGTCCAGCAGGGAGCCCCCCCGGTCAGGGGCCAGGGACAGGAAGATGGGGGTGTCCCCTCCAATGGCCTCACTCTGCCCTCCGAACAGGTCAGCGTTTCCTTTATGTAGAGCTCCCTCCACCAGCTGCTGCAGGACACATTTGAGGGTTAGAGGGGAGTAACCTACCAGACGGGACAGGAGGAGCACCGAACAGTTTACCGCCTCTCCTCCCTGGCCTTCATCTGTCCCCTTCCCTGCCTCTCCTCTCCTCCGCAGCGCCAGGAAGAAGTGTGTGACGGCGGCCCGACAGACGAGCAGCAGGTGGGAAGGCGGGAAAGCACGGGGGAGGGGGCTGCGGGACAGGAGCCGCACTGCAGCGTGGGATACCGCCGGGTCACCATGGAGGAGCAGAGGGCAGAAGTCATGGAGGTGTCCTGAGACCGCTGCTCCAACCTGCACTGCCATGGAGGACTGAGGACTAGCACCTCCTCCTGGACCCCTCCTTTCCTCCTCCTGTACACTCTGCACGGCGGAGGCCAGGTTGAGGAGGAGCTGGCAGAGCTGCTTGGGTCCCAGGGTGTGTGTGTGGATCTGGGCCACACAGCGGGTCACTGCGGCAGGGATGAGGCCTGGCAGGCAGGCGGACAGTGGGGTGTGGAGCTGCCAGGCCAGGGCCAGCTGGTCTGGGTTCCGGGCCAGGATGAGCAGCTGACAGAGGGCCTCCGTGGCCACGCTAGGGCCCCCGTATATAGACAGCAGACACAGCAGACACAGCAGCTGGTGCAGCCAGAGATGACGCTTCCTCTCCAGTCTCAGCGTCTCGGCACAGAGCTCTCCCACGTGGGACTGCAGCTCCTCCAGGAAGGGGACCACACGGGGGGCCTGGGAGGAGGGAGAGTGGGGGCGGCTGTAGTAGCCGTCGTCCCCCTCTGAGCGGGTGTAGACCAGCTTGTGGAGGTGCAGCAGGAGCATCTGGAGGAGGCGGTCGCAGGCCTCTCGCACCCCCTCGTGAGGGGAAGACGTGGGGCCAGAGATGATGACGGAGGCGGGGGTGGCCGTGTCGGCTAGGAAACGGAGGACGTGTGCCCCTCCAGCAGGGCTCTGGGCGATGAGGTGGACAGCCAGCCCCAGCATGTTGTCCAGCTCGTCCCTGGGAAGGCCCTGTAGAACAGCCTGGAGCTGGAGCAAGACTGGAGGCCGTAGAGACTCCACCAGCTCTGTAGACACGGCGCCCAGCAGAGAGGGAGACAGCGCCGCCAGCTGGAGAAGGAAGGGCACTGTGGCTCTGCGGAGCTGGGCTAAATTTTCCCAGGAGGTGGACCCAGAGCTGGGGGGTATAGTTGGGGGACTGAGGCTCTCCTGGAACATCCTCAGCAGCTCCCGCCGGATGCTGTCAGAGTGCCGTGCCGCCAGGTGGCCCAGGATCCCCACCACAGAGCCGATCTTAGGCACTCGGCTGCTCTTGTCTCCCTGACACTTGTCAGCCGTCCCGTGGGAGCAGAAGTCTTTAAGGCCACAGGCCAGGACGCGGCTGATGATGGTGCCCGGGAAGGAGGATCCAATGTGGGCCACCACCCAGTCGAAGTGCGGGGAGTGCTGCACGGAGGTGTCCAGGAGAGCGTCCACACATTGGTCAGGACACCAGGCTATCATGGCCGCCAGGCACTGGGTATAGGCCTCCATGAGGGAACGTGTAGCTGCACAGGACATCCACAGCTGCAGCAGCTCATTGAGGCTGGAGGAGTTGGGAGCTGCCCTACGGCCAGCATGCTTGGAGCTCAGTTGCCCCAGCAGGTCTACAGCCCAGGTAGAGACGAGGGGAGCCCAGGCTCGGGGGTTGAGCTTGATGAACTCCGCCAGGACGCCATGGACCTCCGTGATGACGTCCTCCAAGTTGGAGTCCCCGTCGCCCTCGCCGTCCGTCTCTAGATTGTGAAGAAAGGCTGAGACGTGCTCGTTGTACACGCCCCTTAGGTGCTCAAGGACCGCCCCGCGACAGGCAGGCACGGACCGTAGTAGACGCACGGCACAGCGGGCATGCTCGCGGACGCTGAGTTTACGACCCTGGGTCTGGTCCACGCCACTGATGAAGGATTTGATCTCCTGGGACAGTTCCTGGGGGCTACACACAAGACAAAAGTTCACACAGTTGCAAAAAATCTAAAAACAAACGTAATTCTAATTGGTATCATTTGTATTTTCTCTCAGACTAAAACATTTCATATATATGCTTGAAAAATGCTGACCACTGCATCTTTCCACAATAACCTTAGCATAATAACAGCCGTATAACTTGTTGGTACAGTAGGGAAGCAGCCACATAGCTCCAACTACTGCACATAGCTCCAACTACTGGCTAGCTAGCATGCTAGCTAGCTAGCTATGCTAAGCAACTCACCTAAATGCATTCTGCGGTGTGTGAGTGAGAGAGGTCTGCATGGTGACTGTCAGGGAAGTCCCGTCAAACACGGCAGACATCGTTCAACTTCCCAAACTGCAAATAGAACATGAACAACTCTCCCCTTGTAACAAACTACGAATAATCAACTCTACACGTCAAATATGATGATATTTTTTAAGCAACGTTCAAGACAAATAACAAAAGTGCGCTCCAAAACCGGAAGTCTTTATTTTCTTCTTCTATCATGTCTTTCGAGGGGTAATTTATTGCCATCTACTGGCCTGACACTGTTCTTGGAAACTACGTCAGCACGCACGTTGCCAGCAGATACGCCCTCGGATTTGTTCGCTTTTTCCGAGTCAGCTGATCGTTGACGTCTAACGTTATTTATGTGTTCGAGGTAAAGTAATCAACATCGAGGCCACGACACCGAATTTACTGTAAGTTATAAGAATGTACAAGTATTTCAGTTATTATCTGGACTAACATACTTGTGAGAATTACAAATAGCTAGCTAACTGGGATCGAAGTCATGCCATGACTCTTGACAGCACGCAAACATTGTCACTGTTGTGTGCCGTCTGTGGTCAGTTACAGTAACGTAGCTACAGTAGCTAGCTATTTCGTTGCATAATGAATGTTTTTTACAGTAGTGGTGCGTGGGTAAAATCACTGGGGAAGCCATAAAAAAAGCCATATTACAACCTATGTGTTGTGATAATTGCGTTGTTTGCTGTATAACCTGTTAATTAATATGCCTTGCCACCGTGATATGTAGGCCTAAAGACCGAGATAATAAGACACAGTGGCATAATAAATTCACCCACACCTTTGTTTGATAAGATAAATATGATGTGGCTGTCCATGGTTCTGATTTATGTGTGCCTTGCGCATTCCTGCAAGTAGAAAAATATGTTGACTCACCCTACTTGTAGAGAAACGCCAATGCCATCCTCCTCTCTTTCATGTTGAGGAAACGGTCTATCACACTGTCATACAGTACAGACTGTTATTTTTTGTTGGTCTAGACTACCTGGCTAAAATGGTTGCTTGCTAGCTTAAGTTCCATTCATGAGGAACGTTAGCTAGTTAACATTACCCTTCTACATCTAGCTACATGTTATACTTCCATCCTCTCAGGCCAGGGGCACAACAATGTATGAATTAATGGTTGGATCAGAATCGCCATTATAATCATTGGCCAGTATGGAGAATTAAGTAAAACCACAAGTCCAAATCCCTATCTCCATCCATGGCTAATTTAGGAAAGGGCCAACTTTAGCTAGCTAGGACAACAACACAACGAGATGCAACAATTGAAGTTGTTTCTGTCAATGACATATGCGCTCAATGCGATTTGATAGGAGTGACGCCAAAATCCAAGCTGGCTTCCCTTTAAAAAATGTTTTGGTGCGCCAGGACCATTCACAGTTGAGCTCGCACAGTTTAGCTCAATGCTGATTGGCAATTATTTTATACTTTTTTATCAAGGGAGGCCAAATGCTCGCAGGCTTCCCTTGCATTCCATTCAATGCTATGGTCGGCAACAATGTCATACTCGTTTGGACCAGACAGCATCAGATAGATGGCCTACACATAGAGAGACAGAGGGGCGCTGTTTTCAGATGCTTTCTTAGGTGAGATACATATGGAGCCAGATAGCTGCCAAAAGGTTGAACATATGTATCGTTAGGATCGTAAGAAAATCCATGCGTGAAACATGAAACGTAAATGTGAAATTTCATCTTTGAACATACAAACACCATGTTACGATTACGGACTAACATTTTAGGCTTGAACAAATCTTGTGTTGCAATTCTGATGTACAATAATACCTTTCAGAGTTTTGGCAGTTTCATCTCACCAACAACAACAAACGTACACCAAACGGCCTGTGAGGAGTGCTATGAGAACAAGCATAACACAGTATAAAAAAACGGAAGTCAGGGAAACCGGAAAGAGGCATCCTGCACATTTTCAAGTTAAAAGTCTCCATTCTATATTACTCCTCAGTTGAGTTTACTTCACATTTAGGTAGCTAATGTAATGGATTTGTTTGCCAGGGCAAGTCTAGATAGCACTAGCTGTATTATGCCTACAACAGTGAAGTTTCAGTCCGCTAGGTGTATCTCTACAGCATGGGCATATCTCTGGGTGAGTTGGACATCCCCATGCATGCACCTTATCAAAATATGACTAATTCATTATTGCACCATCCCATTCTCTGGGCTGTGTCTGCAATGATAACCAGTAGTATATACCAGGAATAATGAAACATAGAATAATAGATGTTTGGTGACTATGAATTATGTATGACCACTGGAGTCTTTGCCACTCAAACTATTTTTTTATGGAATATTTTGACATTTATTTCATCACTCAAAAACTTGCCAAAGCATATTCTGTAGGAGGGGTTAATATGAATTTAAAATAATTTGACATGATTTACACTACCGGTCAAAAGTTTTAGAACACCTACTCATTCAAGGGTCTACATTGTAGAATAATAGTGAAGACCTCAAAACTGTGAAATAACACATATGGAATCATGTAGTAACCAAAAAAGTGTTAAACAAATCAAAATATATATTATATTTGAGATTCTTCAAATAGCCACCCTTTGCCTTGATGACATCTTTGCACACGCTTGGCATTCTCTCAACCAGCTTCACCTGGAATGCTTTTCCAACATTCTTGGAAGGAGTTCCCACATATGCTGAGCACTTGTTGGCTGCTTTTCGTTCAGTCTGCAGTCTGACTCATCCCAAACCATCTTAATTTGGTTGAGGTCGGGGGATTGTGGAGGCCAGGTCATCTGATGCATCACTCCATCACTCTCCTTCTTGGTCAAATAGCCCTTACACAGCCTGGAGGTGTGTTGGGTCATTGTCCTGTTGAAAAACAAATGATAGTCCCACTAAGCCCAAACCACATGGGATGGCGTATCACTGCAGAATGCTGTGGTATCCATGCTGGTTAAGTGTGCCTTGAATTCTAAATAAATCACAGACAGTGTCACCAGCAAAGCACCCCCACGCGATAAGACCTCCTCCTCCATGCTTTACAGTGGGAAATACTCATGCGGAGATCATCCGTTCACCCACACCGCGTCTCACAAAGACACGGTGGTTGGAACCAAAAATCTCAAATTTGGACTCCAGACCAAAGGACAAATTTCCACCGGTCTAATGTCCATTGCTCGTGTATTTTGGCCCAAGCAAGTCTCTTCTTATTATTGGTGTCCTTTAGTAGTGGTTTCTTTGCAGCAATTCAACCATGAAGGCCTGATTCACACAATTTCTGAGGCTGGTAACTCTAATGAACTTATCCTCTGCAGCAAAGATAACTCTGGGTCTTCCTTTCCTGTGGCGGTCCTCATGAGAGCCAGTTTCATCATAGCGCTTGATGGTTTTTGCGACTGCACTTGAAGAAACTTTAAAAGTTCTTGAAATGTTCCATATTGACTGACCTTCATGTCTTAAAGTAATGATGGACTGTCGTTTCTCTTAGCTTATTTGAGCTGTTCTTGCCATAATATGGACTTGGTCTTTTACCAAATAGGGCTATCTTCTGTATACCCCCCCCCACCCTCTTTTTTTTTCTCTGTCAATTTTTGGGTGAAGCCTGGCTTCCCTTTGCATCCATGAATACATGGCACTGGTTTTTTATTGACACCGAAACATAGTGAAATTAGATGACTGTCTAGTTTATTAGCCAATAGATTGTCTAATATTTTGTTAGCTAATGTCTTAGGAAAACAGGCCCCAAAATATAACCCATAGATTTCGTTCTGACTTTACAGGGTTGAGATAAAAGCTCAGGAAATAGGAAACGGAAAGTTATTTACAAGCAGAAGGGAAATCAAAGCTGTGGAAAGGAAATAACAGTAACCATGGCGCCAACATTGGTAAGTAATGTCCAATCCAAATATTGATTGTGTCCACTGTCTCTGTGTGGTCTACCTGTTTTTATGCAAATATTTAAATTTTGTTTGTACAAGGTAGTGTTTGCATGACTGAAGAACTTGTAATAGTTTTGTTCCCTGATCTAAGCACTTTCCCTTTCAGAACGGCATACTTGGCAGTTGGTTGGCAGTTGCATACTTCAACAAGAGGGTGTCTAGCAACAACACCCCTGTATGTGGCAATACACAGATTTGCTAAATCATACTTATTATTTCTCCCTTGACAGTACGACGAGAAGCCGGAGCCAGGGGATCTGATAGAGATATTCAGAGGGAACTACCAGCACTGGACTTTGTACATTGGTGACGGTTTTGTCATTCACCTGGCCCCACCCTGTGAGTAATAATATTGAGTATGGTCAAATCTTTATTTTAGAAGATATAGTGCACTCAACAATTTATACACAGTAGCCTACATAGATATAGAGTACAGACAATGCCTTCAGAAAGTACTTTTCCCACATTTTGTGGTTACAACGTGGGATTAAAATTGATTTAATTGTCATTTTCTGTCAACGATCTACACAAAACACTAGTGAATCCGGAAAGTATTCAGACCCCTTGACCTTTTCCACATTTTGTTACGTTACAGCCTTATTCTAAAACGGAGTAAATTGTTTTTTTCCGTCATCAATCTACACACAATACCCCATAACGACAAAGCAAAAACAGGTGTTTTGAAATGTTTGCAAATGTATAAAGAATACAAAACGGAAATATCACATTTACATAAGTATTCAGACCATTTACGCAGTACTTTGTTGAAGCACTTTTGGTAGCGATTACAGCTTCGAGTCTTCTTGGGTATGATGCTAGAAGCTTGTACTTTGCTCCGTTCATCTTCCCTCAATCCTGACTAGTCTCCCAGTCCCTGCCGCTGAAAAGCATCCCCACAGCATGATGCTGCCACCACCATGCTTCACCGTAGGGATGATCCCAGGTTTCCTGATCCCAGGCCAAAGAGTTCAATCTTGGTTTTATCAGACAAGAGAATCTTGTTTCTCATGGTCTGAGTCCTTTAGGTGCGTTTTGGCAAACTCCAAGTGGGCTGTCATGTGCATTTTACTGAGTGGCTTCCGTCTGGCCACTCTACCATAAAGGCCTGATTGGTGGAGTGCTGCAGAGATGGTTGTCCTTCTGGAAGGTTCTCCCATCTCCACAGAAGAACTCTGGAGCTCTGTCAGAGTGACCATCGGGTTCTTGGCCACCTCCCTGACCAAGGCCCTTCTTCCCCGATTACTCAGTTTGGCCGGGTGGCCAGCTCTAGGAAGAGGCTTGGTGGTTCTAAACTTATTCCATTTAAGAATGATGGAGGCCACTGTGTTCTTGGGGATCTTCAATGCTGTAGACATTTTTTGGTACCTTTCCCCAGATCTGTGCCTCGACACAATCCTGTCTCAGAGCTCTACTGACAATTCCTTTGACCTCATGGCTTGGTTTTTGCTCTCACATACACTGTCAACTGTGGGACCTTATGTAGACAGGTGTGTGCCTTCCAAATCATGTCCAATCAATTGAATTTACCACAGGTGGACTCCAATCAAGTTGTAGAAAGCTCTCAAGGATGATCAATGGAAACAGGATGCACCTGAGCTCACTTTTGAGTGTCATATCAAAGGGTCTGAATACTTTTGTAAATAAGGTATTTCAGGTTTTTTATATATTTTTTGCACACATTTCTAAAAACCTGTTTTCGCTTTGTTATTAGGAGGTATTGTGCGTAGATTGATGAGGAAACAATTTTATTTAATCTATTTTAGAATAAGGCTGTAACCTAACAATTTGGAAAAAGTCAAGGGGTCTGAATACTTTCCGAATGCACTGTATACATGTTAGAAACACCTTTGGTAGCAATTACAGCTGTGCGTCTTTCTGGATAAGTCTCTTAAGAGCTTTGCACACCTGGATTGTACAATATTTGTTCATTATTCTTAATAAAATTCTTCAAGCTCTGTCAAGTTGGTTGTTGATCATTGCTAGACAGCTATTTTCAAGTCTTGCCATATCTTTTCAAGCCGATTTAAGTCAAAATTGTTACTAGGCCACTCAGGAACATTCAATGTCGCCTTGGTAAGCAACTCCAGTGCAGTGGCGGCTCCTGAAAAAATTCTCAGGGGGGGCAATTTTTCTGATGATTTAGGTGACCTACACACATTTTAAAAAAGATATGTCCAGCAACAACATGAAGACAGGGGCAGCATATAAGTCAATACCAGAAGCATTTATTGACTGATCTCAAAAGTGTTGGCTTACCAGGGTTGGTGGAGCCCTCAGTTTCATCTTTGCCTTGCAAAGCTAACTCAAACACTCCGCAAAACTTCACACACTGGATTAGCCGGCTGAGGATGTGGCGGTTCTTGCTAATGTCGTAGTAAATATATTTGTTATAGTGAATATGGAATATGATATGTTGAGTAAAATGTTGTGCTAAGATCTATTTAGGTCAGGAGCTGGTTATAAGTTCTGTTCCTATCCAATAACAATGGACAAAAGGGTCCTATCTTGTCAGCCTTGTCAGTTTCAGTTCTCCAGTAAACTTGTGATTATCAACACTAACCTCATCGTTGTGGCGGCGGACAGCTAGCCTGTATCCCTCATCCAGTTGAGTGGGAATGTTCACTCTCCCCAAAGCAGACAATCTCAAACAGCTATCCATGTGGGTCTTTGACAGCTCATGTTTCTTAATCTTTCCTGAAAGATGGTGCATGTCCGTTACACACCAGTCGCTGTCCAAGCGGTGCTGTCTGCCGTGCCGCCTTCAGGGTGAAAGAGTAAGCAGGGGGTAGCAGAAGACTGCATTAGCTACATCGTAGCCTGCTAGCCAGGTTTTTCGTTCGTACCAATTTTTGGAAAATCCTCGGGTGTAGGACTTCCCCCCTTTAGTAGAAACCTGTTGAATTATTAAATTTGGTCTGGGAGGTCCTAATTGTTTCGTTGCCAATTTATCTTGATTTGTTCGCTGACAAAAAGTAACTTATTTCAAAGAGACAATCGAGTTGCACTGAACGCTATAGCCATCTTGATAGTAGTACGTGAATTGATTGAGGCTACCCGCTCTTTTCTTAGTTACGTTCATGGTTACGTTACGTATGACGAAAGCGCGTAAGTGCAAGCCCTCAGAAACCCATAGAGATTGTATTGAAAGCTCTGATATTTGAAAAAAATAGATTTTACATGGGAGTCTATGACAGACTTCTGGGCGATTTTCAACCTGACTGAAATCGCCCCAAAAGGGGGGGGGGGGGGGGGGGCATTTGAAGCACGACTTTAGCCTGATTGGACATTTAGTGGCACTGTGGCAGATCAGACGTCTAGATTACAACACTGATAACTACTGTTGCCGTGATATAATTTATTAGAAAAAAAATCCCTTCCTTTTCCCGTTTGGCAGTGCGTCGCCCATATCGCCCTATTGAACACACCGCCCCTGCTCCAGTGTATATTTGGCCTTGTGTTTTAGGATATTGTTCTGCTGAAAGGTGAATTTGTCTCCCAGTGTCTGTTGGAAAGCAAAATATGAAGAGTGGTACTCAGTGATGTGTTGGATTTGCCCCAAACCTAATGCTTTGTATTCAGGACAAAACGTTCATTTCTTTGCCACATTATTTGCAGTATTACTTTAGTGCCTTGTTGCAAACAGGATGCATGTGTTATCCTGTACATTCTTCCTTATTTTCCTTCAGTCAATTAGGTTAGTATTGTGGAGTAACTACAATGTTGTTGATCCATCCTTAGTTTTCTCCTATCACAGCCATTAAACTCTGTAACTGTTTTAATGTCACCATTGGCCTCATGGTGAAATCCCTGAGCAGTTTCCTTCCTCTCCGGCAACTGAGTCAGGAAGGGCATCTGTATCTTTGAAGTGACTGGGTGTATTAATACACCATCCAAAGTGGAATGAATAACTTCACCTTGCTCAGATATTCAATGTCTGCTTTTTCTTTATTTTTACCCATCTACCAATAGGTGCCCTTCTTTGTGAGGCATTGGAAAACCTCCCTGATCTTTATGGTTGAATCTGTGTTTGAAATTCACTGCTCGACTGAGGGACCTTAAAGATAATTGTATGTGTGGGGTACAGAGATGAGGTAGTAATTAAAAAATCATGTTAAACACTATTATTGCACACAGAGTGAATCCATGCAACTTATTATGTGATTTGTTAAGCAAATATTTACTCCTGAACTTATTTAGGCTTGCCATAACAAAGGGGTTGAATACTTATTGACTGAATTTGTAAATATTTTGTAAACATTTTGAAAAACATAATTCCATTTATGGGTTATTGTGTGTAGGCCAGTGACACAAAATGTCAATTTATTCCATTTTAAATTCAGGCTGTAACGCAAAAAAATATATATACTTTCTGATAAAAACTAATGTGACAAAACTCAATTTTAAACTCATCTTTGGCTCTGATGATATGTTTTATGACATCTTTTGTCTGTGCACCCCCTCCCTTGGAACTTTTCCCTCTCCCATGTCTCTTTGCTCCCTAGCCGAGGTGCCTGGAGCCAGCTCCAACAGCATGATGTCTGTGCTCAGTGACAAGGCTAAGGTGAAGAAGGAAGAGATATGGGACGTGGTGGGGCATGATCAGTGGTGCATCAACAACCAGCTGGATCAGCAATACAAGGTCAGTACCAGTAAGTACAGTATGGCTGCGTCCCAAATTGCACCCCATGGGCCCTGGTAAAAAGTAATGCACTATGTAGGGAATAGGATGCCATTTGGGACACTACGTTGCTCAGTTGATAGAGCATGGTCCTTGCAATGCCAGGATCGTGTTTTTGATTCCCGCTGGGGCCACCCATATGAAAATGCATGCATGCACTACTGTAAGTTCGCTTAGGATAAAAACGTCTGCTAAATGGCATGCATTATATTATTATAGGTCAGACCCATCCGTGAGATACTGAGAAACGCCCAGGCCTATGTTGACCAGGAACTGCCCTTCTGTATCTTCAAGGGGAACTGTGAGCACTTTGTCACAGAGCTGAGATATGGGAAGGCTGAGTCTCGACAGGTAGGTACAATGGACTGGTGCTCATCGATAGGTGTACTCTGCTCAGCGTAGAGTAATCTCATAATAACATTCTCAAGCTATGAATGTGTGTCAAGAGAGTGTAGAGTAACTGGATTACTTATTGTTAAACATTCAAAGCACCTATGACTATTTCTGAATCAGTCATTCATTCAAATTTAATGTTTGTCTTTTTCTGCCCAGGTTCAGCAGGCTGTGGAAACGGTGGGAATGGCTGCGATGGTGGGCTTCGGAGTCCTTGCTGTTGCAGGTGTCGCGGCGGCCATCTTTGGAGGCGGAAGCAAAAAGAAGAATAAAGAAGGAGAATATAAGTGAGCACCTGTATGATAGCTTCCTGAGCAGCCAATCACCAATAAGCCTAATAGAGATTCATTATTCAACTACAGTACTACTGCCCTCGTCACTTGAATAATTCTGGGGTTTTCAGAAGGGAGGATTGAGTATTTCCATACATATTTTTTAAAACTTTTAGAGTTACACAGACAGGAATTGAAAGCACAAATGAAATGAGGAACAGTGTCTCGTTATAATTCCAAGGTAGACAGCCTTGGAGGTGCCATAGCCTTGTTGGCTGCTAGACTAAGCTAGCTGATTTTAAAGCTAGCTGATTCCCTACTAAAGTTTCAACATATTTATGTAATGTAATATGATATTTAGCAGACGCTTTTATCCAAAGCTACTTACAGTCATGTGCGCATACATTTTTACGTATGGGTGATCCCGGGGATCGAACCCACTACCCTGGCGTTACAAGCGCCATGCTCTACCAATTGAGCTACTGAGTGAGACTGAGATCTGTTTATAATGGTATTAAATGGTATTCCACTGAAGTTCTGATATTTCTATCATGAAGTCAATTGTCTCTAGGACCCACAGAACTACTCCTGGTTCAGGTCAGAGTGGATACATCCAGTGGCGACCCATCATTCAGGGCAGGTGGGGCAGAGCCCGTTTAGCTAAAAAATATATAAATATATATTTTTTGTGTGCCTGTTTTGCATGTTATTTTGGCATTAAAACGTGTCACATATCAGTTAGCAAACAATGTAAAAAATGAATCATTGAGTTAATAAAGCCGCATACAAACAGTCTCTTTTTTGCTTTCTTGACTAAGGCAGCTCCAAAATGCAGGTGTTTCAGCCTAGCTCAGTGCTTTCTGTGGTGGTGGGGCAGCCAGCGGAAAATACGGAGCGTAGGGGTTGGTAATGTTCTCTAGTTGTGCCATTATTGGCTCAGTGTTCTGTCACTCATGGGGACACTACGTCACTGCAAAATCTAAGGGTAGAGCTCGACAATTCAAGCCGCTTGGGTGCTGCTATTGAGTTACATTAGAAGTGCCCATCCAAGAAGGCTCAAGGTCATTGGCCACTGATAAAATTACGTCAAATCACGTTATATCTACCGTAGCTTTGATTGGACTGATCATGTCAACATCATACTTTCAAAATCTTAGCTAGAAAGCTAGACAAGCAGTCATCATCATGAATCATGTCGACAATCTACTGGCAAATCCTTTTCAATCCTTGTCATATGAAGAGAAATTATAGATAAAAACGTATCGGTGCTCATCGGCCATTATACATAAACATTACACAACAAGTTGGAAATCGCAAATTCAACAATGAGTGGTTTGAAGGAGTCAGTGGCTAACTGCAAGCTTTGCAAACCAATCACTAGCCTGCTATTCAGTGGAGTGGGTGTGTGGTCCAAGTCTGGGTTTAAGGGTCTCGTTTCCAAGCTTAAAAGGATAAACGTTCAAAACCATGGGCCAGAAAAGTTTGAATAAATTAGCCATGTTGTCAATCCAGCATGACTTCTGCCACGTTCAAAACAACTGGAAACTCAGAACTGGGAAATCTCAGACTTCAGTGAGTTCAAGAGAAACCTTTTTTTCTCCCAAATGTTTTCGATCTTGTCTCATCGCTACAACTCCCCAATGGGCTCAGGAGAGGCCCGCATAACTGCACTCCTTAACACCCGCACCAATGTGTCAGAGGAAACACAGTTTAACTGGTGACCGGGGTCAGCCTGCCACAAGGAGTCGCTAGAGCACGATGAGCCAAGTAAAGCCCCACCAGCCAAACCCTCCTCTAACCCGGACGATGCTGGGCCAATTGTGCGCCGTCCTATGGCACACCCGGCCACGGCCGGTTGTGGCACAGTCTGGGAATGAACCCGGGTCTGTAGTGACGTCCCTAGCACTGCGATGCAGTGCCTTAGACCGCTGCGCCACTCGGGAGGCTCTCGGGAAAATACGTTTTGAACGGTCATCCAACTCGGAATTCCAAGTCGGGAACTCTGGCCTCTTTCTAGATCTCCGACCTGAAGATCACTGACGTCATGATTCAACAAGGACCTCCACGCCATCTTCCTTTTCAAGTGATTCCCATCGGGGGCCAGTATGGAAAATGTATGCACTCACTAACTGTAAGTCGCTCTGGATAAGAGTGTCTGCTAAATGACTAAAATGTCAAATGTAAGTGAGCACAGCACAAGGTGAGTCCAAAAATGTATTGTATGCTGCTGCATAAATGATGTAATATGCCAGGGAGATATGTATACTGTATGTAAGAAAGTAATACTAAGTGTATGTTGTGTAGTAAGCTGTTAGTAGCCCATGTGCCTCACCCTAATCATTTGGTCCCTTTCCCCCTCATAACTTAGCTTCTGTTCTGACTTGGTGGTGAACATGTAGCCTATAGCCTGTTTTAGAGAAATGTAATCAATGAATATTGTAAGAGCTTTCATTGTCTGCTTATATGCCCCCTTTATTTATCCTACGGTTCTGACTTGGTGTACAGGGAGAACACTGTAAGAACGACCCATGTTCTGAATGATGTCGCTGTACATTTAAAAAGTGCTGAACAAATAATGTTACTGACTACGTCCGTCCTAGCTCGTTCATGAATATCTTCATTGAAATTACGGATTGCCTCTTATCCGCTCGTCGTCCCCTTATGCCATAGTTTGTACATCTCAATTGTCAGTAGAAACCACATTTGTTTAAGCAAGTCAGCCATGTTTTTTTTAAAGGCAGTAAATGAGGCTGAATGAACTGTTTCGCTGCCAGACAAGGCTCTGTTGACAGCCAGGTGTAGCGGTGGTAATGATTCACTCCATGGTGCTGAAAAGAAAGCTCTGCTGTTGGGACAGCTTTATGTAGGCCCTAACAGTTTGTGGGCACCGGTTGTCACCGTTATAGTGCAATTCATGTATTGTTTAGTGTTGTGGCTTTGCTGGCATGCATCTAAAATATTTCCCCCCACCAAGATTTACATGCTAAAGTCGCCACTGAATACATTTCATGCACCTTATATCGCTTTGTAATGACTAACAGTGTTATGAACAAAAACTGAGTATACTAGCAATTTCATACGTTTAAATATTCTAAATGTTGGATTGAAAATATTTAATCTTAACCGGTGTTTGATCCATAAAAACTTGAGTTTGCACATTAGTTAAGTTCATTAAATATATTTATAATTAATAAATGGAACTTTATTAGCATTTTAGATTAGTCGATTTGGTCTTGATTTGCTCTTTGCTTTAAGTTGGTAAATGTTTAATAAACATTGTTTGGTCTCTAATAGGTTTGGGGTCTGATTAAATTAAACTTGTCTTAGTAAACAAAACAAACACCTCTGTAATCCCACAAGGAATTTTCCAGTGGATTTGAAGGTTGACAGAAGTAGAACTTGTTCTGAATATATTAGTAAAACAGTGCACACCCTTTCACATAACACACTTTATTTTCATGGTTTTATTTTGGGAATTGTTCATAGTACACAATATTCCTTCTCTATAAAACAATGCATCTGATTTCACTGTCTGTTCCTCTCCCATACGGACATCCCTCCCTCGCCACCCACAACATATTTCAAAATCACAGAACACAGCCCATCTGACCACCTAACCCCAGTAAACAGTGCTGCCATCAAATAAAGGTACAAACAGAACCTTCTCTTTCCCTTGACCCACCCAACAGTACCAATATAACAAGATAGTTGATGAGCAGAATTATCTTGAACTTTTATGATTTCATTTTAAATAGCTAAGTGACTCCATTAATATACAGGAGGAATCTATAGGTAAGATTGCATAACACCGTCCATGCTGAATATGAAAGCTTCAAGTCAGTCAACCCACCACCACTAATAATAACTGATTGGCACCGAGGGGATGTAGCCAGGTGTATATTATTCATCTGCGTACAGTGAGGTATCGTTAATCAACAGAGACCAGGGACACATTCAGTAGGCAAACGTTGTGGAACGTTGAAGATAGAAATATCATGAATAGACCTGGCATGTGAGAGAGGAATGTTTGTTCTCCATAACATATTTCTATCTGTTCCACAAAGTTCAGCCCTGCTGACCGTGTCCCAGCATCACCCAACAGGGAGGTACCATATGCCGTTTGGTAGGTCAATCACATATACAGACCCATGCATGCAGACTATCAGTCTTATTTCTGCAGTGTGACTGACAGCTTATCTAAAACCTTCATAACTATTTATGCGTATATGTGAAGTAAACATTCAGCATATACACACTATATATCAATATAATAAAAAAGGGAAAAAAAACATTCAGACAAATGCACCACCTATGTACATTTCTTTACATCTTTGTTTTTATATAAAAACAATATTTACGTTGTAATGTGAATGTAATGTTTAAAGCCGGTAATAGTCTGGATGAGACATGCCTCAGCCTCTGGCACTCTGCTCCCCTCTCAGCCAATGAGCAGCTTGCACAGTCGTCAAGTTCACAGTGTCTCGTCTTCCATCCTCTTCTTTTTTTGATTATGGAATGTTGAACCTTCCATACATTCCACCCTCTCTGCGGGAGTCAGGGAAAAGTCATCATAGCACTCTGTCTGCTTTGATTCCTGTCTTCCGCCAGCCCTCCTCTTCCTTCCAGTCAGTCCAGTTTCCGAGCGCCCAGTTTGAGAGGACCCTTAGCTGCTTTGCGTTCTGCCCGTTTGGCCTCCAGTTCTTTCCTCCTCTCCTCACGTTTCTTCTTGGCCAGCTCTGCCTTGCTGAGGCCTGCTTAGGAAACAGAGAGACAGCTGTTATGGATTGGCTTGGGCTTGGCTTGGGGCTTACAACATGTATAGCATCTCATATTATATTATTATTAAAGGACTCCCTGGTTTCAGATCATTGAGAGAGATAATGGAGTTTAGATAGATGTTAGAGCAGGTTGAGACTCACCTTGACTTCCGTCCACAGACTCCCAGCTCTCCTCGGCTCCCCAGTCTACAGCAGGCTCTGCACTCCCATCACCCGCCTAGCATGAACCAGAAAACACATTAAAACATGTATTGTATTGTGACGTCCTCCCATTTCCACCTCAACTGTTCCCCACTTAGCATCAACACCTAACTTTTACCTCCACTTTGACAAACCTGCTTGTCAGTTCTTCAAAACACAAAGCCTACTCCTGTCAAACTTTTATTTATAAAGCCCCCCCCTCCTTTCCTCACCGTAGCAGTGGGGGTGGGCGTTGCTCTCTGAGACACGTTGGCAAGGAAGTCAGTCTGCGTGGCCCCCTTACTGTCCCAGTCATACTCGCTGGCTAACCGAACCCCCTCCGGCAGAGCAGCACTCTTAGTGGCTGGAGCAGTCGTTCCCTCCTCCTCCCAGTCATTGCCCCACCCCTCCTCTCCCGGTGAACTCTGACCCTGGCCGTCAGCCTCCTTCTCATTGGACCAGCTGTCGTCGGCGTCCCAGCCCGAGCTGCTCCAATCAGAGCTCTGCTTTTTCACTGCCTCAGAAGTTGCTAGACCCACCTGGATGGAGATGGAGACAGCAATGAATGAATATTCCCCATGAAGTTTCAGCACTCACACGGTTTTAAATCATGAACCCTTATTCAGTAGGTTGGAACTTTCAGGAAATTGCAGACAGGAATGTATTTACATATTAGTCATTTAGCAGACGCTCTTATCCAGAGAGAATACAGTTAGCACATTAATCTTAAAATAGCTAGGTGAGAACCACATATCTCAGTCATAGTAAGTACATTTTTCCTCAAAGTATATAATCCGCAAAGTCAGAGCTAGTAAGAAAAGATAAGTGCGAGTGTTAGTTACTTTACAGAACTAGCGTGACTATGCAATGTGCCATTATCTTTGACTCTATTCAAACATTCTGCCTCCATGAATAGGCCTCAGGTCTGGAGAAAACCAGATACGTACTCCTCTTACACTGGCCTTCTTTTTGACTGACGACATTCCTGACCAATCAGAGGAGTTCCAGTCATCTGGGTCTGCTGCCTGTACCTTCTCTGGGTCCTGTGGGGGGGAGAGAGCGAGAGTAGTTGAATGAGTTAACTGATCAAATAGAACATGCCTCTCCAATACAAACATCACTGTTTCCCATGTTCTGTGACAGTTGACGTCCCACGGTCCCAACTGTCAAATTCCACCACAAATCCAATCCATGTGAATTACCTCCAAACTTCCCCAGTCCTCGTCATCCCACCGGTCTCCGGTTGGCTCCTCGTCCTTCTCTGTCACCTTAGGAGAGTCTGATTGGGTAGCAAGGCCAGAAGCAATGGGTAGAGTCATGGAGCCCGGCGGTGGTTTAACTTCAGCGCCTGGAGGAAGGAGAGATGGAGGGAGGAGAGAATGGTGAGGTGAAAGGTGGATGTAAATAGCGGATGGATCCAGCTTTGCCGGCTCTTCCTATGCTTCTATGGGGGATGCCACCCTAACCAAAAAAGAAACATATCTAAGATCTGAGTGATCCTGCTCATAAGTCAGTTCCTTACCCCCAGGTACTCCATCTGTCACAGGGCTCCCGGCGCAAGGAGAGGCAGTACCACCACCAGCAGCAGGGGTGTTCTCGGCCAGGCCGCCCCCCTCTGCCCCCTGGGCCGGTCCGGATGAGCTTGGAGGTCAGAGAGGACACCCCCGTCACTGCCCAGCCTGCCCAACTGGCCGCTGCCCCAGCCGGCTGGGCTGATGACATCACATCCTTTTCTAGGGTGAGAGTGAGATAAGTAATATTAGAGACTCAAAGGCTGTAATCAGATTCCTTATAAGGGATAGTTTGGGATTTTGGCAATGAAGGAAGTTACAGGTACACTACATGACCAAAAGTGTGTGGACACCTGCTCGAACATCTCATTCCAAAATCATGGGCATTAATAGGGAGTTGGTCCCCCCTGCTATAACAGCCTCCACTCTTCTGGGAAGGCTTTCCACTAGATGTTGGAACATTGCTGCGGGGACCTGCTTCCATTCAGCCACAAGAGCATTAGTGAGGTCGGGCACTGATGTTGGGCAATTAGGCCTGGCTCAGTCGGCTTTCCAATTCATCCCAAAGGTGTGCAATGGGGTTGAGGTCAGGGCTCTGTGCAGGCCAGTCAATTTCTTCCACACCGATCTCGACAAACCATTTCTGTATGGACCTCGCTTTGTGCACGGGGGCATTGTCATGCTAAAACAGGAAAGGACCTTCCCTAAACTTTTGCCACAAAGTTGGAAGCAGAGAATCGTCTAGAATGTAGTCTGCTGTAGAGTCAAGATTTACCTTCACTGGAACTAAGGGGCCCAGCCCGAACCATGAAAAACAGCCCCAGACCATTATTCCTCCTCCACCAAACTTGACAACTGACACAAGGTAGCGTTCTCCTGGCATCAGCCAAACCCAGATTCGTTCGTCGGACTGCTCCAGAGTCCGAGCTTTACACCACTCCAGCCGACGCTTGGCATTGCGCATGGTGATCTTAGGCTTGTGTGCGGGTTTGCGGCTGCTCGGCCATTGAAACCCATTTCATGAAGCGCCCGACTAACAGTTCTAGTGCTGACGTTGCTTCCTGAGGCAGTTTGGAACTCGGTAGTGAGTGTTGCAACCGAGGGCAGACGATTTTAAGCGCTACGCGCTTCAGCACTCGGCAATCCCGTTCTATGAGCTTGTGTGGGTTACCACTTCGCGGCTGAGCCATTGTTGCTCCTAGACGTTTCCACTTCACAATAACAGCACTTACAGTTGACCGGGGCAGGTCTAGCAGGGCAGAAACTTTACGAACTGACTTGTTGGAAAGGTGGCATCCTATGACGGTGCCATGTTGAAAGTCGCTGAGCTCTTCAGTATGGCCATTCTATCGCCAATGTTTGTCTATGGAGATTGCATGGCGGTGTGCTCAATTTTATACACCTGTCAGCAACAGGTGTGGCTGAAATAGCCGAATCCACAAATTTGTAGGGGTGTCCACATACTTTTGTATATACACTACCGGTCAAATTTTTTTGAACACCTACTCATTCAAGGGTTTTTATTTATTTTTACTATTTTCTACATTGTAGAATAATAGTGAAGACATCAAAACTATGAAATAACACATATGGAATCATGTAGTAACCAAAAAATGTTTAACAAATTAAAATATATTTTATATTTGAGATTCTTCAAATAGCCACCCTATGCCTTGATGACAGCTTTGCACACCCTTGGCATTCTCTCAACCAGCTTCATGAGGTAGTCACCTGGAATGCATTTCAATTAACAGGTGGGCCTTCTTAAAAGTTGATTTGTGGAATTTCTTTCCTTCTTAATGCGTTTGAGCCAATTAGTTGTGTTGTGACAAGGTAGGGGGGTATACAGAAGATAGCCCTATTTGGTAAAAGACCAAGTCCATATTATGGCAAGAATAGCTCAAATAAGCAAAGAGAAATGACAGTCCATCATTACTTTAAGACATGAAGGTCAGTCAAAACTTTGAAAGTTTCTTCAAGTGCAGTCGTAAAAACCATCAAGCGCTATGATGAAACTGGCTCTCATGAGGACCGCCACAGGAATGGAAGACCCAGAGTCACCTCTGCTGCAAAGGATAAGTTCATTAGAGTTACCAGCCTCAGAAATTGCAGCCCAAATAAATGCTTCACAGAGTTCAAGTAACCGACAACTCAACATCAACTGTTTAGAGGAGACCGTGTGAATCAGGCCTTCATGCTCGAATTGCTGCAAAGAAACCACTACTAAAGGACACCAATAAGAAGAAGAGACTTGCTTGGGCCAAGAAACATGAGCAATGGACATTAGACCGGTGGAAATGTGTCCTTTGGTCTGGAGTCCAAATTTGAGATTTTTGGTTGCAACCGCCGTGTCTTTGTGAGACGCGGTGTGGGTGAACAGATGATCTCCGCATGTGTATTTCCCACCGTAAAGCACTGAGGAGGAGGTGTTATGGTGTGGGGGTGCTTTGCTGGTGACACTGTCTGTGATTTATTTAGAATTCAAGGCACACTTAACCAGCATGGCTACCACGCCATCCCATGTGGTTTGGGCTTAGTGGGACTATCATTTGTTTTTCAACAGGACAATGACCCAACACACCTCCAGGCTGTGTAAGGGCTATTTTACCAAGAAGGAGAGTGATGGAGTGCTGCATCAGATGACCTGGCCTCCACAATCCCCCGACTTCAACCAAATTGAGATGGTTTGGGATGAATCGGGCCGCACAGTGAAGGAAAAGCAGCCAAGAAGTGCTCAGCATATGTGGGAACTCCTTCAAGACTGTTGGAAAAGCATTCCAGGTGAAGCTGGTTGAGAGAATGCCAAGAGTGTGCAAAGCTGTCATCAAGGCAAAGGGTGGCTATTTGAAGACTCTCAAATATAAAATATATTTTGATTTCTTTAACACTTTTTTGTTTACTACATGATTCCATATGTGTTATTTCATAGTTTTGATGTCTTCACTATTATTCTACAATGTAGAAAATAGTAAAAAAATAAAGAAAAACCTTTGAATTTGTAGGTGTTCTAAAACTTTTGACCGGTAGTGTATATAGTGTAGTTTTGCGAGCAAATGATACCGAGCATAGCGCAATGACTGGAAGTCTTCGGGTACAGCTAGCACTAACGCTAGTTAGCATTGGCTCACAAAACTACCTCAAACTTCCAAACATTTTTATCCACGAGTTCATCTGACTCTGGGGAAGAAGATAAAGGACTTAATTGCCAAAAACCAGTACTATCCCTTTAATGTGAGATCAGTGCTTGAGGCCTTGTTGTCTTTGGCGACCTGGAGGTTTGCGACTGTGTACAGACCTATGTCAGCCAGCTTGGTTGGATCTTCAGAAACAGTCTCCAGCTTCGTCAGGAAACTCTTTATGGCTTTAAATGCCTGAGGGACAGAAAAAAACGTGTTTCACAATCTAGGTTTCCATCCAATTAGCAACAGATTTTCATGCGAATATTCTAAAATCTTCATTAAATAAATTATATGCATTTCCCCACCAGAGATGTGTTCCATCAAATTACTTGTTGTGGACAAAAGTCTGTGTGATGACGTAGTGCACATAAAAATAACTTTTGCATTTAATTCCCATGTACGAATACAAAATACAAGTTAAATGTAGCTCAGTTGGTAGAGCATAGCGCTTGCAACGCCAGGGTTGTGGGTTCATTTCCCACGGGGGGCCAGTATGAAAATGTATGCACTCACTAACTGTAAGTCGCTCTGGATAAGAGCGTCTGCTAAATGACTAAAATGTAAATGGATTTCCATCACATTTTCAACTCTACTGAGTTGTGCTATATAGCTAATGTACCCACTCTGGTGTTGGCATGTGTGCTCTAGCGAACAGCTCGCAGATACAGTGCAGGTATAGCCTATATTATGAGATTATTATGGACAAAAGAACAAGATTATTTTTAATTTGTCAAATGGCAGCCAAGTATCGAACAAGTCACCAGAATAAGACACTCAATATTTATTGGAAAGGAGCATCAAGCTCACCCTGTGAAGTTCATCATAACGGATTCAATCTTTAGCCTAACAAACTGCAGTGGGAGGACCACAAAACATGTCATCTCGTGACTCCAAGTTTACTTCGATATGTTGGTTATTATATCAACATTTGCGCATAAAAGCGTTGCCACCGCCATTTCTCACATAATACATTTTACAGACACAAAAAGATCCCACCTTGTCTAGCGTATTTTGTTTTGTCGATATTTGGAAAGTTCACTGCCAAATTAGCTGTTTCCATCAGGCCCGTCGTGGCATTCTTTATACTTTACACGCACAAAAAGGTTGGATGGAACCTGCTTACAGATGGAATGTTGCAATGTGAAATGAGAGAGTAAGTAAAAACTAGATTTTCACATGCAGATGGAGTGTTTCTAAACTAAATGTTTCTAAACAGAATGTAAGCTAAATGTACTAGTGCAGTTATTTCAATGTCTAAGGTGTTTGTGTAAGGCTCCCTTCTCCAAACCTGAACCCACCCCCCAGCAGGACCCACTGAAGTGGTTTGGAATCCTAGTGCCTCAGACCCTGAAACAGGCCCAGGCCTCATTCAAACAGGTGGTAGAGTTGTCAGCGGAGGCGGCTGCTCTCCAGTCTGCAGTCCTGACCACCAGTCAACAGCAGCCAGACCCCGGACCAGACGGACAGACAGACGGACTGACAGACTGACCAGATCATGGTTTAGATCTTACACAGACTAGACATACTAGCTCTGTAAGGAATATGGTGGAAACTCACTCAAGCCATGCTTACACCCCTCCAATGCTTATAAATGCATGAGGGGGAGTGAACGAGTGTACACTTCTGCAG